GCAAAACACATCGTCTAAACACAGCACTGCTCAATGTAGAGAGTTATACACTACCAGCGAACATTTCTTTTGTAGAAAACGTGAAAATACGAAGAAAACAACTTGGGCAGGAGAAACAACGCCCGCAGTCAGGGTGTATGTAATGAAACGGACGGAATTTGGGATACTCATAATGACAAAGAGAACCCCACGCCACTGTAATGCCACGACTGACACCCGAACAGCTCAGGCAGGTTCTGGGTACAATACAGATGCTAGCCACAAAGCCCTCATTGCTGGAACCTTTGCTTGCACTATCCAATTGATGCAACGTTACATACAGACCAGACAGGCTATGCAAAAGGGCAGACTGCATGTGTGAGTGCCCAATGTGTGAGTGGGTGAGTATGGTTTTATGCCGCTTTTAGCAATATTCCTTGTAGGGCATCAAACCACGGTATTCAGCTTGACGAGCGGACGCTTTAACCATTAAGCTACCTCACCGCCCCTGCCCAGTGAAGAACTCTACTTGCGTACTCTGCATCTCCGGAATCGATTCCTGCAAGTCGACAGACAGTGGCCAGGCGACTCAGTGCTCAAGGATTCAGGGCCCTGTTTCAGAAAGCTATCGTAGCACTACGACTGTCGTACCTCCTATACCGTAACATCGACTTACGGCAGACGTAGCGTTACGATAGCTTTGTGAAACGGACCCCAGGGCTTACTGAAACAGGAGACAGTTATTGGTCGTCTGAGATATTCCGTCGTTGGCAGCCACGTGACTGGCAGAAGATAGTCTTCCCTGGTGTATGCCTCTTCTGTCTGTTCACAGTCTCTCTCTGTGTGTGTGTGTGTGTGTGTGTGTGTGTGTGTCCATAACGTTGAAAGTTTGTTTTTGCCATCCCGCCTCAATTTGGGCAAATGCCGCGCCAAAATGGGCTGCTTTATCCTTTAGATCCTTTAGATCTCTTCAATGCATTTTTCATGCTTCTCTCTTTTGTGATTTTTAAGCTCGATTGATTTAAAACTATGGCAACTTTCTGGAATCCAGTTTATGTAGGAATAACGCTGTTAGCGCCCATCATAATAGTTCTGTAACATCACGGCTTGTATAGCGCTCCAGAGTGCATTGCGATATATCTGTGATATTGTTGGTAGCACTCTACAGCTCAGCGTAATGTATCTGTGATGTGAATTGTATCGCTCCAGAGTTCATCGTGAAAAAATCGTGATATTACTGCTATCACTCTACAGGTGATATTGCCGATAGCGCTCTATGATATATGTGTGATATCATTATATTCTTGTGGGGAATCGAACCTAATGTGTGGCGAGAGGACACTTTAACCACCAGGCTACCCTACTCCTCTGTATGTAATGGTGGAATCGAGTTGGGCTCTAATCGTGACAAACACTACCGACACTGGCGCACCCGCAGCTACAACGTACGTCTGGTTTGGGGTTTTAAACCCTTCATTGGCCAGAAGGATCAGTGTCGGTTCACACTGTACTTGCATGGGTTCATTTTTTACCACGGTCATCCTACAATGCTGTGTCAAAATGAGATACACAGTTATTAAATCAGCCTTAAGAATCATCCCACTTTTACAACAGAATAGACTTTTTACATGCATCTACATTCAACGTGACGTATTGATTTTAAACAAAGGAAATTATCAACTTTTTTCTGTATAAAATAATAAACGATTGGCTCTGTTAAAAATTGAATTCTGGAAATTGCTCTTTTTCAATGTTATTTAAAGGATTCAGCAGTAAATTAAATGTAACCCACGCACGGAATATCCGCTTGCCCACTACATTTTCCAGATACATTGGTCCAAGCATGATTGTGTGAGGGGAGGACAGTTGCTAGTTAAAGAGATCACTACCTAGCAACAAAATCAAACAAAAGAAACAGAGTTTATGATAAATGTTTAGACGTGACGCCTGCTCTACGTTAATCAGGGACTGTAAATCCGGAGAGCTCATTACAACTACAGATCATTCATTAACCCAGGCCATATTTCCGGGAAACGGGATAACACTGTATCTCAAATGGGTTTCAAACATTGTACGCATGGGGGTAATCGAATATGGGTGTTTGGTGTGACGAGGGAACGCTTTCAGTACGAGGTTTTCCCACTGTCCTACTTGATCACAGGGTAGACACCACTCACAAATGTACACACATAGGAGCGGTGTCTAATAAAATATTTTTTATAAATGATGGATTGTTCACAGCCGAGGAATACAAACATTATTTGAATTAACTTTCGTAAAGGAAACTCGTCCGGATTTCCCCCCGCTGCAGCATGATTAGCGACGTCGTGTCCCATGCACTGCGCGTGAGTCAGACGTATGGAGAACCCTCGGTCGTCACGAAATACAAGCAGGTATTTATAACTCTACAGTTATTTCAAGTACCTGAATACCTGTGTGTGGTGTACATGTATGTGTCGCGAAGGTAGCACGTGGGTGTAAGTGTCGGGGTTCCCTGGTACATTCATAATGATATCGACATGCAAGCACCTGTTGCAGAGGCTGACGTCATCTGTTGGTCATGTACATGGCCATTGTCAAATACCATATTGAAGAGCGAGCACTTGCACTGCAGTTTGCACCATCATACAATGTAGTTATTATGTTGTTTCATTAAGTTATGTTAGCATGTTTCTTCTTGGTAATTATGAAACATTAGACTGTTCTCAATATGCAAAGTTAGGGTCAAGGAAATGGTTTTATTTCTTTATTTTGACAAAGACGAACAGTGAGTATCCAAACATGATTTTACGCCGCTTTTAGCAACATTCTAGCCAAATGCTTGCTTGGGGAGCCACTTAGCGTCACACGTTGTATCCATGTTGGGAATCGAACAGGCTGTAACTAAACCAGAGGTATAATCCATTGGATAGATAGTCGTTGGGCGTATGTATAATAGCTACATATATTTCTTCGTAATGTAACTTCCTAATAGTTTAACAAAGATATGAATATAGTCACCACATATGATAACAGGAAGGTGTTGATTTCAACGATTCCGACATATGTTTTGATAGTGCTAAAACATGGATTATAGTGCTTACTGTAGTACTGAACAATTTACTAAGTACTAAAAGGATCATAATCTACCTTTGAAATGTACAGGAGTTCGCTTCATGTTGATACCAACATTTCTGAATTCAATTGCCCCGTATTCGCAAGAGAAAGGAGAACAATACTCCTTTAAAGCATTTACATGCCCAACCATTTCCATGGCAATATCTGAAAATGTTGGAGAGAGAGAGAGAGAGAGAGAGAGAGAGAGAGAGAGAGAGAGAGAGAGAGAGAGAGAGAGAGAGAGAGAGAGAGAGAGAGAGAGAGAGAGAGAGAGAGAGAGAGAGAGAGAGAGAGTATAAGACTAAATAGAATCGCTGGTAAAACCGAGGCAGATAGAATCTCTGGTAAAACCGAGGCAGATAAATCTGACGTGATATCTCTGCGGTTTGAACTCTTCCTCGTACTGCATGCTGCCCTTTTCTGGGTTGGTTTGCTCTGTTGTTGTTATTGGTTCAATAACGTAAAGACAAAGTTTGTACAATCAGACATAAGCACGTGAGAAAAACACGAGGACGTATTATTTTTGTGACACCTCGTGATTATCAAACTGTTGACGTCGGACGGAAAGTGAAACAGGGCGTCTGATCATCTGATCATTTACTTCCTGCAGACAACAAAACAAACAGAACCCACGTGGCCCACACGTACAATAACACACAGGACGACAGAATGGCGGTCAAATTTGAAACAGTATTTTCAGTAGAACTGATAATTGCACCTCCAAATACACAGTAAGCATTGCTTGTAGAAGTAATATAAAGTATAGAATTTGAATGCAGAAGTTTGTTGGAACAGGTTATACACCTGGTGCGTAGTTGTGCGTATGCGCGCGTGCGTTGTACTCCCTTTTGTCCAAAAGTGGATTCCGCGTAAATGGTTAATTATGGAATCATGAATTTGTCCCTCATTAACTGGACAAGTTGATTTGTTCTAATTGGTTCGTAAAACATTGAAAGAAATTGTTCGACTTTCTAATGGGTTACTCAAGTTGAATACAGTACAACCAGAAATTATTGAGAATTTAAAGATTGTAATGTTTTTACTTTTTGCACTCATTACTCACGTATTAATGTGAATATTAGCAGAACATAACTCCAGATTCAAAGACAGTTGAACAGTTAGTACTACTGATCAAAGAAGTTAGAAAGTCGCGGTCCATGCTGTACCAATATCGGACCACCTCTTCTTTCATTTCAGCAATATTTGTCAGATTTCTTTTATTGACACTTTCCTTCATAAGTCCCCAAACATTTTCTATTGGACTTAGGTCAGTCAATTTTCTGGGCCTTACTGCGCCTCCCTGGTGCTCAATGCCATATTCATTTGCAATATTTTTCAAAACACGATAAACAGTGGACAAAAGGATGCCTGTTCTACTTGAAATCACTTTAGCTGATCTGATGTCCTTGTTATAATACTCTTAAATCAACCTTCTCTAAATCATCCATACTGAGGATCACTGAAAATGTCGTCTGCTAGCAAGTAAACAAAGGGGGATAACTCTTCACAAACTAATGAAAAGGATTAACGGAGTTGTCTCTCTTGAATTAAACCAAGCACTTGCTAGCTGGTCAAGGTTGTTTATACTAGAAATCCAATTAAAACATATTCCTAAAATTCTCAATAATTTCTGGTCATACTATATATCATAGTTTATTTCACTCGTCAATCATTTTGAAAAATTAATTGATAGAAAAGTTTTTAAAAATGAATAATTGATTTTACTCTGGTTTTCAATTTTGCATATCGGTCTGACGCATGCGTGATGTGTTAATAACCGTGGATTATTACGTGAAGTTCAACACTTTCAGAAATTCGTGTTTTTCGTTTATATTTCCTGCATAAACAGGTTGGTTGGGCTTATTGTGGCCACAAGCTCAAACCGGGCACCTGCTGCACGTTTGACCTACAATGAAGTCTCCCTGATTGTCTACTTCCGGGTCACGTAGGTAGCTATCTGACCGTTACTCTCAATTTCTGGACGTTTTTGGACACTTTTAGGCAAACATGTAGCCATTTGACGAACATATACCTCAAGGGTGTAAGTATTTGTATTATAATGAACGTGATTTAACCATATCAAACCACCATTTGAGTAAATCGAGCATATTTATTACAATCACGTCTATATGTCGTTTGGGATCCCATTCCTCAGGTGCATTTTTGTGAATTTCATGCAAGATCTTCATGATTGAAAGGTAATAGTTTCAGCAAACCGTTAATGACACCCAAATTAATACGTAAGGCGCAGTTAGTTTTGTTGTAAATCATGAATGAAGCCAACTCTGATACAGGAGATCACAACATACCAAAATGTGGACAGGTTCTTCAATACACTGTTTGCTCAAATTTTAAGCTTCTACTGTTTTAAATTACGTTTGCACGAGTATATTAACACATCTGTCAGCATAAGATAAAGTTAGTAAAAATGTATTGGTAATACTTGTCATATTTGTGAAGGTTGGAAATATGAAAATGTATCAAGGGCTTCCTCCTGGTCAGTAGTGATTTGTGTAGCAAGCATTCCTCTCTTCCTGTCATTAATCTTACAGGTCTTCTTGTTTAGGACTGATGTCACCAAAATAAGCATGCACACTTCCTCATGGAATTAATATTGTGCTGTTGTTGGGGTGTGTATATATCTAAATACTTTATTGCTGACCAGGTTATGATCTTTATAATCAACAAGTTATTTTGTTGTGTACAATCTGTCATCCATTGTTCGAAGGAAGTTTGTATATAATCAGGAAATATCGGTATCGAGAACATGTATTGTAATACCTTACTCACATTTTTCATTGTATGTAGAATAGATGGTCCAAATATAAGAATGGATTGTCAGAGCTACAGATAACTTTTTGGGTCATTGAGTTATGTATTCGCTTGTGTTCATCTCAATTGGGTATCCTTATTTTCCTTTGAGTAACCAAATAAATTGTACTCACCTCACTCAAAGTCAATTGGGTATTTTGCCATTTTCCATTAATTTTATAAATATAATAAACTTTGAATGTTAGTGTTTGTTATTTATGTTTGATATGCAATATGAGAAACTATAAGAAGTACTTTTATGTCCTGAAATAAAACTTCTCAATATACCTCACTCAGTTATTCTATCTATCCACAGGTACGCAAGCTAAATTTGGACATTTTTGTGTGTACGCATGTAAGATCACATTTATTGAGTATTTACAAAAAGTCCAAGCGTACTTGTACGCAATAGACTTAATAGGAATTGACTTTTCACATAAAAATGTGCGTAATTTACGCAGATACGCAGCTTATCTGTACCTCTAGATTGTGAATAAGAATCAAATTTGAAGGCATTGTGTGAAGGAACAACTAGAAACTGATAAATGTATGCAGATATTAGTGAGTTAAATGTTACATCGCATTGGTAATATTGCAGCAATACAGTTATGGAGCAAGTGTCATGATGGGTGGATGTATAATTTGCTTCAGTATTAATGTGACATCTTAATATGTTTACCCATGATTGATAATTTTGTCCTAATGTTCACCAAACAATAGACTATAATGTTACTGTCATGAAATATGAACAATGTAATCCATCCCATCACTCTGACTGTGTAGTGATTTTGTAGGAAAGTTTCAGTTCAGTACCAGAAAGCAATTGTTAAAGGTATTATTTTGCATAGCTAACTATTTTGAAATGCTTTTGAAATATTTCATGGGACAGACCAGAACTAGTTTTTCCATGTTTGATAGATGGTCTAATTTGAGTGTTGCAGAATGTTGGAAAGTCTCCCTTTTTGTGTTCCCAAACATTTATTTTGCACAGCAGAAATGATGGTACAGCCAAGTATTGATGGCTAGTCTTGCAGAATTACTAATGCTTGTGGATAGGTTATAAAACTAAGATCAACAGTTTTTTCAAGCATGTGTTAAAGTAAAATGAGTATTATACCAGTCAGACTTGTCTAAGAAATTCTGACAAAGGTATATTTTATTTTGCAGTGTTGTGGAAATCAACAAAGTGATAGTTTCACATAGATGGATACTTCTAATGATCCAATCACAGTGAAGGATTCTCACATGTCGTGGTAGTGGATTGTTTTGATGAAAATAATGACCGATGAACAGAAACTATACTTTATTATAGGTTGCAGAGCTCAAGATAAGATGCGTATTAAATATGCAAACAAAATAACCATATTGTAATTATTTTTGAGTTACTTGCATACAAATACACATTGAGAAATTTAACTATGGAATAGAGTAACTGCACTCTGCATAATTACTCAATGTGACTTTTACAGCTTGCATACTAGGACTGCAACAAATCCACTGTGAGGCAAATATGATACATGTCATGAATATTGGTAGAATATCAAGTCAGCAGTTGATGTAGTATCTAATATGTTTAGTGAAACAATGACAAAATAATTATTTGACATGTTGAAAGTGTTTATTTAACATGATAATGACCAGTAATAACATTACTGTCAAAATAAACATAGGAGAGTGATGGTTATTATCTTCATAGGCTTGGACTTTTCCATTTTGCACGTTTGGATGAGTAGCACCCAAATTCAAGAAAAAACATACCCATTTTATAAAACACAAGGGATATAGTTGATTCACTGAAAACACATACATATTTACAGATGAATCTCTACAGGATAGAATAATGCACTGATGTTCAACAACTGTCATTTATACATGTGTCACTTGCTATGAGATTACATGAAACGTGACTCATTGGGATAGCACTAAAGTTATGCTAATTAGATATTAGCTGAAACAGTGTAGAAGTAAAATTATTTTTAGAAAAATCTACACTTTTAATTTACAAAACCCAATAGACTGTCAGTATCAAATTTAAACAATATCATGAGAGTAAATACTCAGTGGCTACAGAGTGTATATGCAGCCATGAGGATGTTAGAGAATGATTTTTATGTATATACCTGTAACCATGGTAATGTGTCTTCTTTTGTCTTATATTAATTAATACATCAGTTTTGTGACTGTAACCACTAGTCCAAAGACTAGTCTAGTGTCTAGTAAAGTCTAGTAAAAGTAAGTTTGGTCTGGAAAGTCAGTTAATGAGAGTCATAACACTAAGATCGAAGGAAAATGATGGTTAGAGCCATGTTTAGGCCAGTAGTATCCAGAGTGTTACCCACACACCGATACATCTGTAATTTTGATACATAACTTTGTGGTATGATACGTAAATCTGTCGCAAGGTATAAGTATCCTCTGATAGTTCAGCGAGTCCTATTTATGAGGACAAATTGAACTGATGTCGTCATTTCATCATGGCAGAATGTTGTGGAACATGGAGTCCAGCAGGAAATGATCTTGCGTCCCCCAATTTTCACATTCTTGACGTAGCCATTACTGCCAGGCATGGTAGTCATAGGAAATGACCATTAATGTGCGACAGGAATCAGGTGTCAAGTGCAGGATGGATGTTCAACTGACGCAGACCTCAGTCGTAACCCTGGCCATTGTTTAGTGGCTACAGATTTTTTCTGTAGGAAGTTAGATGATATGAGCATATTGAGACTTTGACCTCTTGACTGCTGTACCAAGTGCACCTCCTGCTCTCAAAGTAGACAACAAGCAGATGATGGTGTGGGATGGTGTGTCTTGAGGATTCCAGGCATTGTATCGGTGGTTTTGAAATTATTGTATGATGTTTGAATTTGTAGTCTTTGTCTTACATTATTGTTATTGTGAGTTGGTACAAACACGTAACAGTGAAAGTGTATGTGTGTCATGTAATGACTTCATCATTCCCTGCCTTGAGTCAGACTCTCCTGTACCAGTAGGCTGCCAACATTGTGTTACATCGTGTAATGTTGGTATTGTTTGCTGGTACAAACACTGAAAGTGTAACTGTGTCATCTAAGAGCTTCAGCTCAACCTGTGTCAGGCTCTACTACATTAATAATGTTTCAACTTTATTTTTAGCAGATATTACTCTTCTCTTATTTGGGCTGACTTAGGCAAGTTTTACTCAAAGGACGATTAACAACTGTCGTCCACAGTTGGACGTGAGAACATCTTTTGATTTATTTTCAGTGAGACAAATGTTTTTGTTAATTGAATAAATATTTTAATAGGTCATTGAGCTGTCATCATAATCATGTTGTGAAGAATATATTCTTTTTTATGTTTTACTAAAAAATGGAAATTTAACTCATGAGCATGTTTTTTGCTTTTTTAAATGATATTTTACTGCTGAAACCCTGTCACAAAGAATGGACCTTCACCCAGGGTAGTGAAGGGCACAAACTCATGATCACATTTATATTGTGTGTCATGTTTATGTCTGAAGGCTGTTGACATGAGAACTGAAAGTAACGTCTCTTGTGAACTGGGTTCTTAGACTTCTTAGTATAACTGTTGCTGTTCATCACTATAGGTGTGTGTTATCTTTGCTGGCTATGTGAGCTGTGTCTACACTGTCTTGTGTTACTGTCTAGTGGAGTAGTGAAAGGCAATGATTATTCTCACAGGCTACTTCCAACATGTTACCAAACTTTCAGGGCATCTCTTGTGGTCTTGTGGACAAGAACTCGAGTTAAGGTGAAAATATCTGGGGGTTTTAATCCCAGTACGGACACAGGACTTTACATTAATGAAGAATTATAGTGGTGGTTGTTTGGTGTTTCAGGAACGGATCCCACCGTGTGACACAGGAGACCAGACACAGTGAGAATTGGATACCGCGTGGAAGCGCTGCAGACAATGGACTGGTTGGTGCCATAGCTGGACCCGGACTCTTGTCCTGGTGTGTGTCTTGTGACATCATTGTGATACGTTCACACATGGCCATGCTCCGCGTGTTGGGAGGCTGTGTCTCAGACAGAAGCTCACGAGCAGAGAGCAGGCGTGCTCATGTGTAAGTACTATATATACTCACTGTATTGTCAAACCATTTGTGAGGTGGTGGGGTAGCCTAGTGGTTAAAGTATCTGCTCGTCACGCTTAAGACCTGGGTTCGATTCTCCAATGTGTGAAGCCAATTTCTGGTGTCCCCTGCCGTGATATTGCTGGAACATTGCTAAAAGCGGCGTAAAACCATACTCACTCACTCAAACCATTTGTCCATCAGTCAGCGCAGTTTGTCAAAACCTAGTTATATAACAGTAACTTAGGGTGTGTTAATAATTTATGGGGGTGGGGGTGATGATGATTTTAGAGGGGGTCACCCATTTTGTTCTGGGGAGCTAGTGGGGTCAGCAATTTTGTACACATGTACTAGGGGGTCAGCAATTTTGTACATAAAATATATTAAAAATTATGCTTAGAAATTATGGGAAGTGGAGGGGGGGTCATTGATTTTGTACATGACATGCAGGGGGTGTTCATTTAATTTGTCCATAAATTTGTGGGGGGGGAGGTGTCATTCACATTGTACATGCTTCTCCATAAAAATCATCATCAGGCCAAAAAAATAAATGTTGTGGTTCCGATTTCCTACATTTCAGAACTAGGGTAGGTAGGTAGGGGTTTTTTTTTTTTTGCAAAATATTTTTACACTACACATGTGTCAGAAAATAAATTTAATTTATTATGTGGTGAGTAAAATTGTTAGGCTCGGCGGGAATATTTAGGGTCGGTCGGGAAATCGGAACCACAAGCTTTTTTTTTTAGGCCTCATCACACACGAGCACACGAGCGTGTGCGCATACACGCACACACCAGCCATAAATTATGAGCGGTCCCTTAAGGCGACGGATAACTTCTTTGAGTGGCATTTTAGAAGTTGGGAAGTACAATATAGAACAGAGTTTATGGATAACTTCTTTTTATTCATGAGTGCGACGTTTCGATACAGATTCTTGTACCTTTGTCAAGCAGGAATGAACTTGAACAAGTTTTATAGTTGGCACCATTTCCGCAATATTCCACTGTACCCATGAGGGGAATTAGACCTGCTAGTGGCTGGATGGGGAACTGCTCTACCACTTGGCTAACCTTCCACTCCTACATCTGCTGTAAGGGCTGAACTTCACTGATCAGACATCAGGTCACTGTTGCTCATGTGATACCTTTAAAGCAGTGTCATGTTTGGCTCAATCATCTCACTTATTTTAGAGGATATGGGTAGTGATTTTGTATGAGCACAGATCTTTGTATAGTACACATCTCCAGTGAATGTTGAATGCCAGGTTATCACGGTCAGCCACCTGTACTGACTACGTTGAATCATTATATCAGTGTTACTGAAAGTGTAAAGGGTAATAGTGGTTAAAGCGCTCATTCGGTCACGCTGAAGACCCAGGTTTGATTCCACACATGGGTACAATGTGTGAAGCCAAGCTTCTACATATCACAGGTGTCCCCTGCCATGATATTGCTAGAATATTTCTTAAAGCTGAGTAAAACTAAACTCACTGTAAGCCAAAATTGTCGTTACTTATTACATGTGGGTTGTCAGAGGCTAAGCTTATTAAAAATATATCAGTTTTGTAGACTGATCATTGGATTACACACATATGGCAACTTATCACAGGTGATATAATCAACTCTCAGGATTCTGGGGCGTTGGAATATAGGGCTACAACAAATGAACTATGAGACATATGTTCTACATATCACAGGTGATATAATCAACTCTCAGGATTCTGGGGCGTTGGAATATAGGGCTGCAACAAATGAACTATGAGACATATGTTATACATATCACAGGTGATATAATCAACTCTCAGGATTCTGGGGCGTTGGAATATAGGGCTGCAACAAATGAACTATGAGACATATGTTCTACATATCATGTAACAAATACAGTAACAAGTCAGCAGTAGACACACCTTTTTATAAAATTCATGAATAGTCACTTCTGGTTATGGCTAGAGCTGCAACGATTCACCCAGACCATGATTCAATTTTCCATATTGGACCCTCGATTCGATTCTTCATACATGTAAAAACATCAGATTTCATTTAACTCTCAGAGTCAGCATTTTTAGCGTGAAATCCATCGTCAACTTGGCGATGTCTACTAACAACACTTCCTATTGGATAATTAGCTTGGCGTCAGCCAATCACGTTTTGCCGTATTTCAGCGCTCGAAACTGCTCGAGTTGGAGTCAAAATTACGTTCTCGCTGTGCAGAAATAATTTAAATAGATATTCAAATATCGAATCAAAATAATGATAATGGTTATAGAAAATCGAAACTAAGGTAAATTGAACCGAATCGTTGCAGCCCTAGTTATGGCGAATAAATTGAATTCATGAATGGATACAGTTCGGTGGTACAAATACGTGTGTGAGTGGTCACAGCCCTAGTATTTACCAATTAAACTGATAAGCGGTGATCAACATGCCATGTGTTTGATAAAGCTGTATAATACTGTATACAACTGTACTGGACTAGATCGATGCTCATGCTGTTGATCACTGGATTGTCTAGTCCAGACTCGATTATTACAGACCACCGTCATATAGCTGGAATATTGCTGAGCATTGTGTGAGTGCTGCCTTCAACTAAAAAGAAACAAAACATGTACTAGACTAGGGGTCTGTTGAACCTCGAACTGACTAGTTGTAACAAAGGAACTACTTAAATTATTTCAGACAAATGCTGACAAATCACTGCTAAAGTAATTTTCATATGTTAATAGTACGAAAATAAAATGTAGAGGGATGATAGACTTGTATAGATCACAGTCCAACATTTTCATATGTTTACTTTCATTGCTGGTTCATTTTGAGGCAGATCTATTTTTAAGTATCAGGAAATATTTTCAAATTTGTATTGAGGGGATAGGTCTCATGACGATTACACACTAGATGACATGACCTGAGTGAAAACATTTGTTTATAATACACGATTTCCCTTGCACAAAGCAATTTAAGTTATACAATGATTGTAACTGTACATGATTGTATCTAAGATAGCTGCATGCAAGTGGGCCTAGATCATTCTGCTATACTTATCAGCTGTGCATCTTATGTTTATCTAAGGCACAGTGTTCACCTTTAAGTCCACACTGAAACTCATCTCACAACATACAATATTCTTAACATGTTAACATTGGCTTACTTTATTTTATGAACCAGTTACATTCTTTTAAATCTATTATGTGGTGTTTTGATACATCGGTTTCATATAGCAGATCAACCAATACATACTTTTATTCAATGTGTATTTGTTTATGATCACCTGTATGCTAATGATGAGACTGGCATGTTCTTCTTAACATATTTTTCAGACTTCCTTTTGATCTGCCTTTACACAAAGCTTTGAAGAATGGATATCTTCCTCTGCCTTTTGTTGTAAGTTGTACCTTTGTCATACCCTTACCAAAGTGAGAGAATGAAAACAGTGGTTAATCTGTTGGAAATTGCTGTGACTGTTGTTTTGATATATGGTTACATTTTACACAATAGACCCTCCCTGTCCCTCCGTCTAGGGGAATCAGTGGTAGAACTGGTCCTCCTGCTTCTGGCAGCTCTAGTCACAGGTGAATGCTGATGATCTGTTCCATTTGGAGAACATTAGGAAGATGTTGTCTGAGTTGGGTTATTTGTAGCATATTGAGACACAAGCATGCTGAATTTGGGGAGACATGTTTTGTTCAACGAGGACACCTTTCATTCTGCATTTTGGGACCCCTTTCCTGGTGATCGAGGAACATTTGCTATTGTTCATCAGAGACATGTTTTTTTTAAGGGCTGTAATGATACATTACATTCATGCTGTACAAAGTGGCATGTATTACAAATTCTGAAGAACCGTATTGTGAAAAAGTTAATACACTACTCTAAAACAAGTGAGGCAGGTAAACATGTTTTCGAATACTGCATTACTTGAAAACAGTTATTAACATCCCCAGCTGAAATTAATCTACAATCTAGAAGATCGCAAAGCATTTAACTGTATTTAGTATTTTTCAAAAGTTTAAGGGCAGGTTTACACGAAAATAAACCTTTTTGTCTTGCACTTTTTCAACATAAACCTATTCACCATGGCTTATGTCCCATGCAATATGACGTGACTGGTACCAATTGATAATGAATGACGTCATTAGGCCTTATTAGACCTATTTCAGGTGGTGTAGGACTGTAGGTACAGGTGGTATTTCAGGTGGTGTAGGACTGTAGGTACAGGTGGTATTTCAGGTGGTGTAGGACTGTAGGTACAGGTGGTATTTCAGGTGGTGTAGGACTGTAGGTACAGGTGTGGTTCTTGTGCCTCATGGATGGCCTGCTGTTTTCCACTCCATAGTGCCTGGCCATCAGCTGGCTTTAAGTACCTATCAGTACCAGTGATAGCGTTTTAGTAAAGTGTTACAGTGTTCTTATTTCTGCATGCACTTTAACAGTGCGGTATTCAAAGTTTGCTACTTTACTACATAAATTGTAAAATATATGTCTGTTCTCATTAACCCTCACTTTGATGTCGAAAATATATATCGAAATACATCACGGACATAAATGCACTTTGCACTTTTGAATTCTGTGGGAAATTCCCTCTTCTGTGATATCATCCACTCTTTGTAGGAAGGGCAAAATCAGTATGTAATGGTATTTTATTTGTAGATGCTGGTTGTTTTCAAACAACATCATTTACATGACACAGTGGTGTAGACTTATGTAGTAAGTTGTACAGACAGTATTTTCTCTGTTGCAGGAAATGCTAGTGCACATTGCCCAGGAGGGGGTATGCACTGTGGACCTCTTCCGTCGCCCTGGAAACCCAACTGATATACGGCATATTATCAATAGATTATCTAAGGGAAAGCAGGTCATCTACATGAATTACAGCTTTTATACACTTGCTTCTGTGGTGAAAGTAAGTAGCTCGTAAAAAATATCTTTGTTCTGGTGATGTGACTTTACAGTGGTAGTCAGCATGGAAACTGTTTCATATTCCACAAAACTTAGAGACAAAGAAAAGTTCGACTGCATTTCAGCTCTCCTGCACCAAAAGTTTTAAGTTGGCTCATGAGATTGCTTTCCTCTCCCATAAGATAGTTAAACCAATTAATTATCAGACTTGGCTTACATTACCACTTACCGCATTTTTTTCAATGGATCTGAGCCATTCTTTCCAACTAGAAAATTATTAAAACAATCAAAACAAATAGAATATATCTACTGTTGCCTAAACATGTCCTGAGCCGAGTTGTATATTTATGAAAGGGGTCAAGTTACCTCCCTTTAACGCCTGCTAAATGCATGCCTACCATTTCCAACACATTTCTTCTTCTTTCGATCTTTAACATTGCATCACACGGGAAACTTAGCAAAAGTACTCGAAGATGTCAGCATTATTCTGTTCCTTAAGCATTTGCTATTCTATTTATGTTAGTTTAATAACATAACTCAGTAAATTTAATGCATGATTATTTGCATGTTTCTCTTTCTAAATCCGACCCGTGAAGATCCGGGGTAGAATAGGTCTTCAGCAACCCATGTGCTTGCCATAAAAGGCGACTATGCTTGTCGTAAGAGGCGACTAACGGGATCAGGTGGTCAGGCTCGCTGACTTGGTTGACACATGTCATCGTTTCCCAATTGCGCAGATCGATGCTCATGCTGTTGATCACTGGATTGTCTTGTCCAGACTCGATTATTTACAGACCGCCGCCATATAGCTGGAATATTGCTGAGTGCGGTGTAAAACTAAACTCACTCACTCACTCACTCATACTTTCTTAATCTTAGTCGAGATTACATTCAGATGTACAACAGTATATTAGTACAAACACAACAAATGAATGTTTTATATATGCGTATCTTAATGTGAGTTTAGTTACTCCTTTGATATACTGCCTCTGTGGTGTAGTGGTTAGAGTGTCTGCCTGGAGAGTGGAAGGTTGCGGGTTTGATCCCCAGTCGCGACATGCCAAAAGAAGTTAAAATATGGTACTCACTGCCTGGCGCTCGGAATTAATGGGTACAACTTTGACTGGTCGGTCCGGAGTCAGTATAATGTGTCTGAGTGGGGTATTCATGCTTCACTGCGGCATGGTATCTCACGTGAGGTAGCACTATAAAGCCAGCTTAAGTCTGGGCTAGTACAACTACAAGCAGCCACGAAATATTCTTAAGTACAACATTAAACCCCATTTCACCTCACCTACTCCTTTGATAACAGAATGGTATCCCACTTTCAAAAGGAAGCTTTATTAAATTTTTGTATGGTGTTATGGAAAGTGAAGGTCATGCCATGACTTACGATTAGTTCATGCTGTTGTAATTATCATGCTTATAAACATTGTTGCAAGTATTCCTACTATGAATTTACTATTTTTATGTCAAATTGTCAAACATTTCTTTCCAACCAACTGCTTGATCTCATTTCCAAGAACGGGAGAGACTTGATGCATATGTTGTAGCTTGATCAGTTGGGTGCACAGATATGGGAGGTAAAATCTTACTAACTTTGTCCTAACAGCGGTTCCTGCTTCGGTTGCCGGGCGGGGTGTTGACAGCGGAGGGAGAGGAACGACTGTTACAGGTGCTCACAATTGGACACAAGAAAGACCAGCTCCAAATTGTACACAAGTAAGTTCTTAGAGACCTTTCCATGCAGTTATTGTTTCTAGTGGTTGGAATGAGTGAGTGAGTGACATGAGTTCAGTGCTGTGTTTGTGATTTTTCCATTAATGTTATGACAGGGACCAGGGCTCCATCTGACCATTGAGTATTTACTGTAATGTTATATCTATGTATTGATCGTGAATTCTGGGTGTTCAATATATGTTTAGTACCTTGGATCTAGTCTATCTAGGTATTTTTTAACCAACCAGTGAACCTTCTTAAAACATACATCTCAGGTAAATTTTCAAATGAACGTGTAATATTCCATATTGAGTAACCTCAAAACTGCACTACATGCAGGGATTGGGAAAGGCAGGGACCATGGGCCATTTTGCACATTAGAATAAAAAATGGCCCATTAAAATTTTACTATTGATACAAGGGCAGTGGCCCATTCTAAGTTCAGAAAATGGCTAATAATCCTGAAAATGGCCCATTGTCAAAGTTCTCTGTCCCAATCCCTGTACATGTATAAGTTATAAGTGCAGTTGAGTTCATGTGTTGACATGATGCCTGCATTCCATCAGTAAGTAAAGATGTGTAAAGTCATCCTGGTACATAGGCTGAAATATCTCCATTGATGTTCTTATACTAATTACAGGAAAAAAACATGAACAAATTGGGTGTTCTGCTACTTGTGAGTAGTATCCTTGTTATTGGATATTATATCGAACTGATGATGTTTGTTTTTCAGTTTCATTGAGACACTAAGCAAAGCTCACCAGCAGATTCTGACATTGTTGTTTGGAACCTGGTTCCGTATTGTCAGCAACTCGGAGGTCAATTCAATGACGGTTGAGGCCCTGGCACGAAGCTGCGCCGGCTCCATGTTTCATACATGTGCAGAGGACCCTGGGAAGGTGGAGCAGGCGAGCCGCATCATGCAACTCCTCATAGATAACTTCGGATGTCCGGCAATGTTTGGACGGGATAATATTGAATACTTCACAGAAATAACCAGTACCGGTATATTAGTGCGAGAGAAGTTCTGCTACCAGTATCAATATCCATCGGATGAAATTCTACCTCGTAAGTATTGTAGTTGTTTGTGAAGCACTTGCTGTTTTGTTGTTTTTCTCTTTTGTAACATTGTTTTGTATTGATGATTAGTGTTTAAATGTTAGTGTGTTCATTTCCTTCTTACAGTGAGTTGTCATCCTTAGATTTAGCTTAATACGCGTCATTAATTAATTATGTGAATTCTGTTCATTTGCCCCCTTCAAATCCACTAGAAAACATCTAAATAAACATTAAGGACTGTTGTTTCATTATAGAGGAGGGGAGGCAGGTGAGATTAAAGAGGGGTTCTGAAACAATGACAGAGAGAATGTTAAATGATAACATTATTTGTACTACTATTAAGGATGAAGTGTTATAGATAAAGTATTTTATTTCATGAAGGGAATGGAAAAACTGTACTTATGGAGTAGGGGAATGCATTCCTAATACCAATAGGGGCTGTGGGGTAGCCTAGTGGTTAAAGTGTTGGCTCGTCACGCCGAAGACCCGGGTTCGATTCCCCACATGGGCACAATGTGTTAAGCCCATTTCTGGTGTCCCCCGCCGTGATATTGCTGGAATATTGCTAAAAGCGGCGTAAAACTAAACTCAGTCAGTCAGTCCTAATACCAATCATAATGTGCCCCTACAGTGGCAATACAACGCTGTCACTGTATGTTTCAACCATGACTTTCATTGTAATGACAGATTATTATTGACAGTTGGTGAACTACGCAGAACTGGAACAATCACCTAGTATGGGTCTTCCCACCTTTTCCATAATTCTCCGGCAGCCATGGCTGTTTGTTTTAGATTCAGACTCATCACATTCTTTGAAATGATATACTTCTACTGTATTGTTGCATATGAAATTGGCCTCTTATGAATTTAACGATGCATTGTCTTACGTGTACTACTATATACTAATGGCAATGGTTCTCCCAGATGAACTCTAATATATACGTCAAAATGTGGACAATGTTATAATAGCTGTCATTGGCTGTGGGACAACTTTATTATGATCTGGACAGCTAGAAAAAGAACTTGACATTGTCTGTATTATGAAGCCACTTCTTAGCCCCATGTTTTAGGTCTTACGAACATATTCAATATGTAGCAATTTGCAGTAGACTCTTGGACACCTTTTCCATTGTATATTTTAGTCTGTACAGTGGGAGATGTGTAAATTTGTTGAACTGCTAATGCTGCTGTTTTGAAACAGTTTTTATATTTTTGTATGACATCAATGTATAGTTGATGCATTTGCCTACAAAATTAGGACTTGGGACTGTTACCAACTGACCTCAACCCTATGACACAGACCCTCTTACTGCACTAACTGAAGGACACATTAAATCATATGCTGTTTAATATATAAACAAAGGTTCACATTCCTGACCTGATTTCTCCATCCTGTAGGCACAGACAGTAACTTCCTCTTTCTGTTTTGGTGATAAATGTACAACATTTCCCGGTTCTTTGTTTCACTTTCGTGTCATCAGCTTAGGAAACATTGGCTCCTCTTGTTGTTAGGTTTAAGGCATTCTTTTCAAAAATGACAGTTTGAATTATCCCTTAAAAACTGTTATAACATTGAATCTTCATTATTTTGGATTGTACCGGAACCTTTCTCTCCCTGGAACTCTTGCAGTTTAACTGTTCCAGACAAAAGCACATGCAATAATAAACTGTTCTGAACTTCCATATGAAACTTCATGAGCTCAAGATTACCCCGGCAAATGTAAAGAAATGTCACGGTATTGACTGGTGACCTAACAGTTCCTGGTTTGATGACATGAACGTTTATTTGTGTTTTCTTGGCCCACCTGGGGGCACCTGCTGGTGCTTGTGGGTGGAGCCAACCCTCCCATCACCACCACCACCCACCCGGCATGTGTTTTGTTTATTCCTGCATGATCAGGCCAGGAGTCAATGAGATGCTTCAATAACTACCTTAAGAAGGAGGCTAAAAAGTTTGGCTTTGACCTTGAAAAACATGGTAAGCTGTTTTTTCATTGGCTGATCCGCTGGCAAAATAATTCTGAAATGATGGCTCTGTAGCATCAGCATTTCATCAGATTTAAGCTTTTCTGACTGTTTGCCAAATTCAAGAATGCTATGTTCAGTGGTCTTTCTTTTCTTGGTGTAGTAGAATGTATTTGTGTCATTGTCAAGTAGATTATTAATCTGGGATTAACTGTGATTGCTTTTATTGCTTATGAACATCCATAAACATGTGCTGATATTGATACCTATTAATGAAATCTTCACCTTGAACTGAGTATATATATATAGAAAGATCCTGCTCAATGAAAGGGAGATAACTAGGTAAAATCTGTGAATTAATTTCTTCTATATAATTTCTTTAGTTTGCTTTGACAAGGTAGTAGCATCATGTACCTAGCTCTGAAATTACAACAAAACAATATGTAAAGGATATGTGAATGTTGTCTTGTTTCTCGCTGGCTCTTCTCTGCTGCCGTCTGTAGTCTAACCCATGTAGATTTTCTTACTTAACATGTTTTGGGATGCACAACAGATGCCTTTCACCTATATCAAATGCAAGAAATGACTGAAATATGATCAGGATGTCACCTGTACTGTTGAGTATAGTTATTCCTTATACTCGTGCCATGGTCCAGTGAATTGAGATTCTGCTCAGAGAGCTAATGATTGATGGCATGATTCAGTGTTCTGCCACATGTGTTGTTCCCTGCCTGCCGCTTGGCATAAGGAGATTAAGGCCAGTCAGCTTAGAGTCAGTATGTTCTGTCCATGTGGGGTATTCATGTCAAACAACGACATCTTGTCTTGGGCTAGTATTTATTAGTCTGGACTAGTACAAGGAGCCAAACACACAGATCCGGACAAAGTAAAAATCTAGAATACAATGTTACCCCCCACCTCACCTCACCTCACCTCACCTCACCTCACCTCACCTCACCTCACCTCACCTCACCTCACCTCACCTCACCTCACCTCACTTGTAATGGTGATCAGTAAGTACAATCTGTTCTACGGATAATTGTCATAACTTGATGCCATGGTGTACTGCTCACACTAATAATATCGCTGGTTAGTCATTAACTCAACCAGTGATATACGGAGCTATAACCCTCTTGGTGGAGTTGTGTCCCCTATTCACCAGGATCGACGGCTCATGGGTTTGTCTGCCCCATTTCCATGATCATGGGTATCAACAAAGAGTTTAAAGACCATATCCTGCATCCCATTTTCCACATCAAGCTGAGTGAGTGAGTTTGGTTTTACACCACTTTTAGCAATATTCCAGCAATATCAAGGGGGGGCACAAAATATGGACTTCACACATTGTACCCATGTGCGCAAACCCAGGTGTTCAACGTGCTGAGTGAATGCTTTAACCACTAGGCTACCCCACTCCCCATGTCAGGTATGGAAAATATTGAGCAGGAATATGAACTTCCACAATGAAGTTGATAATGGGGAATCGAACCCGGTTCTTTGGCATGATGAACGAACGCTTTGACCACTAGGCTACCTCACCACCCCATTACCTTATACCCCACCGTCTCACACAATCATTTACAAATGTTATGTGCACCTATTTCAGTAGTAGCTTGAGAGCACACATCTAGTCGAGTCATCTACTGCCGTAATGTCCGTACTGTGTTGCTGAAGGGATAGAGTCAGCACTATTCCAGCATGAATCTCTGTGCACAGACTTGTCAAGTAGGACAGCATTGTATTCAGCTAGAACCTCTTCATACTAGCTACATATCCCTGAGAATGCATGGTCATAGATTAGCTATGCTTAGCAAGACAAAATTGTACCGGAAGGGGGCCCAGCCATCTGTGATGCCGCAATTCGCTTTGCAGTGTTGCATCCATTGGGTACAGCAGAAACATATGATAGTGGGTTCAAATTCTCGTTTGCCCTGATTATGTTTCTTCGGTTGTCGGCACCATTCCCAGGTTCTACCTGAGTGGTACTCATCTGAGAGCTGTATAAAGTTTGGCTTTCCTTACACATTAAGCTGACACATGTGATGTAAGTGATGTATTGTTAAAACAGCCTACACTCAATTCATTCATTCTTACGTTTCCTTTGTCAACCTCACAATTGTAGAAAACACCTATTGATATGTCAGTGATTATCACAATGAGTTGACATAAATATTTTCATTGGTTTTACATTTGTAGACTTGTTCGCACAAATATTATTTAAGAAATTAGTTTTCTTGTGTCATGATGATGTAAACGCTTGGTAGCCATCATGTGTCATTCATCATGTTCCTGTGAAATTCAAGTTTGGTGTGGTAAATCTATAGATGTTTCTGATGACATCATCGAGATGACAAGCACCGGAGGGGACTCCCAGCGTGAGCACGAGCACGCTCCCAGTGAAAGTCCAGAGTCCAGCTCTCCGTTCCCGTCACATCATCCATTCCCAGACATGGAGGAGTCCGCACTTGGAAACACCGTCAGCACTGTCTCTGCACCCGAGGTCTCGCTCATGCCATCACCAGAAGTTTCAAAGGTAGCTGACATCATAGCTCTTTCAATTTGAATGAATATGACGATTCATAAAAACCGAAGTCAAATTTTACTTCCACAGGAGATGTAGCTCAGGTGATATTGAATTATATATCCCAGGACCTATTCCTACAATGACATTGCCTCACAGTGCTTTGCTGATCATTGTGACGCCATTGGTTTCCATGACATCACAATCAAATTCTGTACATCTTGAAATTAATGCGAGAGGGAATTAAATGTGAAAAATGCAAGTGATTTTTTATTGAAGTAATTAAAGTTTGCAATCATATTTCAAATATGACTGTTAACATCAATTTGGATAGTGGAAACACCAACTTAAAACTAAGACAAGCAACTCTCTATTCCACGTGATTATTTTCACAGTAGTTTTAGCAAGTCTATACCAGTAGTAGTATGTCATTTAAACATTAGAAACCGTATAATGGACCTCCTGTGAGTTGTCAATGCTGTGAGGAAGAGTGCTACTCACTCACTTCAAACTAGACATAACTAAGTACTCAATCAGGTTAAGAGAGACGCCGCCCACACACCTCTGTTGTTTTTGTTCTTTGAATACACAATGCAATATTAAAAGTGGTCAAATGTAACGTGTTATATTTGTAGGTTCACTTTCTCAGTAAATTACAGATTCTAGTACTTCTGTCAAGTTGAGTTCCATCAGGGATTCAAACCCACACACTCAGAGTCAGGCACCTAACTGGCAGCACACAAATTCAGCAATTTAACCTACTCAGCCATCACAGCTGTCAAACATCTGGTAGTCTAGGTCTCATCTATGACGTTGCAGATGTCACAGTCTGATATTATCACACATTTTGACATGAATTTTAAATGAGTATGGTGATTTTTCAAAATAAAAATTAGTTGTCTTAAAATGATGCTATCACCATAGATCAACTGCTTTCACAGAAAATCCAAAAGTTACTTTCCTTTTATCGGGCTACATTTACATTATGCTTGGATTTGATTCACATCAAAAGAAGGTGTTCTCATTGTTTTCATTTTATTCCGTCAAAAAACAACACATTTTGCCTGAAATTACTTGCAGGCATTGTGATTATTGTACTATTCTAATCCATTCTTTTTCTGTTCCTTTCCAGCGACCAAAGTCAGTAGAGGATAATTTGAATGAAGTTAAAACATTTTACCATAGTCGAAGCTTGAGCCGTTTTAACTCTGTGAAGCGTAAACAGCTGGAAAGACTTCGGCAGCGGTCCGACTGGTTTCTTGGGCCGAACGGGAAGGAGGTGCAGGTGGGGTGTGGGGACAGGGAGCTCCTATCAAAGAAGGACTCAGTGACCAAAGCATCCTCAGAGGGCGCTGTGTTGGACGTTCTGTCAGACGTAGATAGTGTGTTCACAGACAACTCCAGTCGGAGTGAGAGTCCTGCGTCAGAGCCTGTCAGGTGCCATGCAGGGAAAGGCAGACGTGACTTTATCCATAGTGACACGCTAGCAGACCTAAATGTGCCAGAACTACGTCTCGATTTCCCAGAATTAGGAGATGATGACATGACCCAGACAGAGGTCAAGTGTTTCCTGATGGAGCACAAGTTCGGAGATGCTAAAAAGGATTCCTAGCACTTGTGATAGCACATCATTCGTTCACGTGATGTCACCTTGCCCGGGCTGCACCATCCATTCAATGTACAGGTCACTGAACGGTCAGTTCGGGGCGAGGGGCATGATCCTTTATTTTTCTATTATTCTGTCACTATGACAACTAGCAGCTGACATTTCATCCCATCAGACATCTCAGCAATGACAGACAGGAAGTGAACATCAGTGGTTACAATGCAGTTGTCAGTTCGGGACAACTGCAGCTAGAAGCATGGGGCTCCATTGAATGCTGTAACTAGGGTAGCACTAGAATCTCATGATAGTCAAGTGTATATAATAACTGTATATGTTGCTTCAGATAGTAGATATAGAAGATATTTAATGTTTTACAGCAATACAAGTGCTCTTTCCATTGCTCAAGGAATCTGTAAATTGACAAGATATTACTAGCAATGACTACAGCTGGGATTTATGTAGTCTGGACACCAGGTGGTGTTATACCATGAGAGATTTAACGTTTGTTCCATACAGTATCTCACAGATAGAAATGCAAACCACTCTATGGAGCCTCAAGCTTGGTAACATTGCTAACCAGACCAATGGATCTTGAAGTATTTTTGTCACTGTATCCAATATGCTTTTTTGAGTGGCTTCATGTAACCTCGTTACAGTTAGGCCTTAAAATAGTCATGTGATAGTCATGTGATCTTAGGAGCATTTTCTTGATGTCTGTCTTCTTTTACACACATCATTTTTGATGTCCACATTTTTAGTTTCTGAAATTATGTTCGATTTTACCTGTTAGTTTCTCCATCTCATTAATGTTTGAACCATATTTGATGTGTCACTCACTTAGTACTGTATGGCTTTTTATGGATTCCAAGTTTAGCTTCAATGTTTTATATGATTGTTTTATCTTTTATTGCCTTTCATTGTTTTGCAAGCAATTTGAATGTGGGCTTCTTGTGGGATTTGTGTTGTAAGTTTTTAATGTATGATTTCTATGAGATCAGTCACTTTTAGAATGAAGGAGACTCCAGATCGATGGGGAAGTAGGTGGAGGTGCATGTGAGGTGTGTAGACAGGGGATTATGTGTGTCTGTATTCACACGTCGTCTGCAGCCTGAGCTGGATCAGATACTGTTGTTTGCATTGCAATCTAACTCCTCCACAGTTGCCACAGAGAGTACTTACCTGTTCCTGGACCCCTGTGCAACAAGCAATGGCTTGTATCACAGGGCACTGAAGTACTTGCATATTCATGGACCATGTCTCTTCTGTCTTCAAAGGTGGAATGGTGCATGAATATGTGTGAATTTCAACAAAACGTTTTGTGGTTGTACGTAGACAACATACCTACGCAGATGTATTCTAGTCAAAGAAGTTCCAACAGACTTGATTTGTAATAAGACTATGGTTGATCACATGATTTGTTCATAAAACAATAGTTGATCTGTATTAGTATATATTATGTTAAGATTACTGTCTTTAATTGTTTATACTTCCAAGCCTGTATACAAACTTTCATGAAATATAAGTTCAAGTGTATATGCAATGATTGGTGTGCAAACCAGCAATGCCTTACAGCCATCTTGGATTTGATTCATTGTACTGGGAATCTGGTGGCTCCTCTGTATTACAGGACTCTTGTACAGGGATTGGGATAGAGAACTTTGACAATGGGCCATTTTCAAGATTATTAGCCATTTTGAATTGAGAATGGGCCACTGCCCTTGTATCAATAGTAAACTTAGAAATTTTAATGGGCCATTTTTTATTCTAATGTGGAAATGGCCCATGGCCCCTGCCTTTCCCAATCACTGCTTGTATTGGTACAGCCGGCAACGTAGTTGACACCTCTGTTGCTACAGACAGAATTAATACAGCTAAAACAACTTAATGACACTAGCCAACAGTAAGGACAACTAGGCTCTATTCCTAGAAGCATCAGCAGCATGACCAGAATTTTAGCTGACATAACTCTTTGAATCCTCTAGGGATCAGGCCAAACATGAATAACTCTCTGTATCAATACATAAGCCGTATCAGTTGTCATCACCCTTACAACGATGAGTTCAGCTGTATCAAAGTAAACAAGTAATTACTCTCTGTGATGATGTGGAATGATTTTCTTTCCTTTCCATTTTTTAAAACTAATGATATAACTCTTTTTGAAAATATTTTCCTGTTTTAACCTAAGTGACAGTATTGAAAACGGTGATGTTGAGATGCTCTAGATGTACAGGCTGGGTGATGAGCCTGCAGCATGCTCTCAATTTCATCTGTTTGGGAAAAACGATTAAACATTTGTCAAACTGTTTTGATTCAAAGTAATTTGAAATGTGTTTAATGTGTTGCTGAATGATTTGTCTGTTTGATCCTTTTAAGGATGTTTGTGTTTGAAAACTAACCAGTTCGGAGATCACTGATTGTACTCACATTTTATGTAATTTTATCGCCATAGGGCCAGCTGTCTCAAATTGATATAAGTTGAGATCTTGTGAATTCCACCGGGAGGGAGAGAGAAGCTCAGTAATCCATATTTAAACTGTATTTACCAGCAGGGATTGGTTGAACTCTCAACCATTATAACCAGTCATAATGCTGGAAAGTTATTTTGGATGAATAGAATCCAATGTTTGTTTCGAGATTTCAACAATCCAGTTTTGTTATGTTATGTTGAGGAAGTTTTTATATTTGCTTGTTTTCAAGTTTATGACAGGTGATTCCAAGACATTCTATTATATACTTTGAAGTTTTAATCAAACGCAAGTATCTTATTTATGATTAAGTAAATCGTGTATATTTTCATTTGTATCAAAACAATATTGTACAGCAGTTGAGATGTAAACAATCTAATTCCTAATCTAATTGTAAATTGACCTTGCCATGTGGGAGATGTCATCTGTCAATATTTTGTTTCACAGTCATGCAAGTTTGAAATGTGGAAATATTTTTGTTTGCCATTGTATGGGAAACAAGCATGCTTATGATGGATTCAGAGAGCCATGGAGAATTTAGGAAGTTCAAGGACAAACAGGGGCGTTGTCAAGATATTAGAGATACCTCAAGTCAAGTCATGTTGTAGTGGCAAGAAATGGTTGAAATCAAAGCAAAATATTCAGTTGTGATACATTGCAGTAGATTTGTAAGGTTATTCTTGTCTTTCATTAACCCTTGTGTTGTTTTACATCATCTCAGGACACAGTGAAAAATGGATGTGGATTCTTCGTATCAGCATCCTTTGTGAACTGAATGAAGATCCTACTCCTTGAGAACAAACTAACGACCTGTACACAAAGGTCCAATTCTGCACAATGATCTTAGCTCTAACATGATTTTAGTTCCTATAATTTAACATGGGCTTACATTAGTTGTAGTGCTGAGATCGCCTTTCAGAATGGGCACTGATGGGTTTGTATATGTGATAATATTATCCATTTTGCCCTCCAGATTGGTTGACATTGGTGTGAGGTATGTCATTATCTTCATTATGCTGAACTCTTATTTTTCGAACTCTTCATGACTGTTTCGTTGAAGATGCTGTAAGAGTATAGGCTATGTAGCACACAGTGGATCGGGTGTTCTATTGTGTCAGCTGGTTGATTAGATCATGAGTTGAATATCTTCAAAGCCTCTGTAAGTCATTCGTTATCTTGAAAGAGAAGGTTAGAGGAACCTGTCAGAGTAGCAGTCTGTTCAGGGCATTTTAGTCAAACTGTGTTCCTTCTGAGAACACAGTTGAAGGGAAACGGGACAATTCACTGATGAAAGGGTGATGGGAAAATATCCATGTATACTGCTCAAAGAAGGTCAAGAAAACCTTCATATGACTGTAGTTACATGTAGGATTTCTGTGATTAGTGTACATTAACAGTCCTCTCCATGGCTGTCAAATCCATTCATTAATTTATTCTACTGTTGAACACCGAGCAGTATAATTACTGCTGACAGCAGAAAGTTGAATGCTGGTATGCTGATGAGACCTTTGTTGAAGGGCTGGGTGAGTTGTATAGCATGTAGTATTGGCCTCACCCTTGTACCTACTGGACACTTCGCGTCAAGAATATGTACTGCATGAACTTACATCTATACCCTTCTATAGGGATGATACAAAGTCTCCTTGGCTGTTATATATGAACTTTTATTGTGTTATGATTGATGTTTCCAGTGAAGGAGGATGGAAGTGAAGTGTTAAGCTACCATGACACCCCTAGTCACTGACATTTTGTCACCCCTGTGAGTTTGGTCAAGTCAAGTATGCTCATTTTCTACAGATTCTAGGAATTGAACATTCCAGAGTTAAGCGATGAAGGTGTGTACGGTATCCAGCTGCCACTTGGCCAGTGCCTGAACAACGTGCACGTGTGAGACATGGCATCCGGGATTGTACGGACGTTTGTTACCTGTCAGGACCTACGCATTTGTTAGTAATTGGTGATCTATCAGGTCATTTGACCTGCCTGCACCTGTCTGATCATATCACCCGTGCAATGTTCATTTATCAGGACCTACGCAATCATTACCTGTTCGGTCTTGTGGTATGCACAATGGTTAATTGACAGATTTGAAACTATAGTTAAAGTATCATTTCAATGGTTGTCAGATCATGTGACCTGCATCATGGTTGTCAGGTCATGTGACATGCACAGTAGTTGACTGTCAGGACAAGCAGAATGGTTAGCTGACAGGTCATGTGACATGCTTGTTGGTTATCAGGTCGTGTGACATGCGCAGTGGTTAGCTGTCATGTCACCTTCACAATGGTTAGCTGTCATGTCATGTGACCTGCACAATGGATAGCTGTCATGTCATGTGACCTGCACAATGGTTAGCTGTCAGGTCATGTGACCTGCACAATGGTTAGCTGTCATGTCATGTGACCTGCACAATGGTTAGCCATCAGGTGATGTGACCTGCACATTGGGTAGCTGTTTGGACCTGTGGTTACTTGTCACAGTCCTGCATGGAGGTTTGCCGTCCGATCATGTGACCTGTACAATATGTTGCTGGGCGGCCATGTTACCTGTGACTGTACATAAAACTATACAACATCATTGTCCTTCATATTTGAATCATACTTATTGTAGTGTATAGAATTTTGAAATGAATTACTTTTGCAATTTGAAGTGGACCTTTTGCATAACACCACATTAAACTTTGAATACCTACTTGACTATGGCAGCTCTACCATCCATCAAGCTGCCCACTCAATTTTCTTACTTTGTACATTTTCATGCCCCAATTTCCTTGTTGGCATTGTCTTTGATGGCCCCTTGTCTGTCCATAACACCCATCTTGTTGTTGCCTTGCAGCCCTCTTGTTTCTTATGGCTGTTTGACTTTTAGGAGAACAAGATCTGAAGTGTTTTGAGTGGCGTTGAATGCTGTGTTTATCTTTTGGCAGGCTGGAGGTTCCACTATACTGTTTCCATGGTGACATTAATTTGTGTCCATCCATGCATACCATATAGAGACCTGTGTGTCTGGTGTGAAACAAAATGTGACTTTCTTTTACCATCTTACAGTGGTGGATTTATGAAAGACGTTTGATGGAATTATTTAGTGAACTCATGTTCTGAAAACAATTTGACATCCTATATTTTGATTCGATTTGGCTAGGATCTGTGGCATTTTTCTCACCTGTTTATTAATGTATAATCCCATTGTCTTATTGATGTGATTATACACGTTCTAATTGTTATTCATTCTCTTGTCTTAGCTTTTGAAACTTTTTTTTTTTGACAGAGCTAGTTATGAGTTTTGGTTTTAAATGGCGATTACAAAAAATTCTTTTTCTACATATTGCCATGCGAAGTTAGATTGACCATAGATGAGAAACATGCCACAAATGTGAGTCCTCTTATATCCAGGGATTTATCTAGGACTCTGAACCAATAATCCTTTGCCGGCAATTTTGGAAAAAAACATAATTATTATTTTTTTTCAGAATTGGGATCTTTAAGTTTATCTGTTTGTAGAGGTTATTTAACATTGTAGTTTGAGATTGCATTCAAGGCAGTAATATAGTATTCAATCTTCTTTATTGTCCTTTTATCAGCGACATCAAAATTAACTCTACACAGCCTTAAAATTAGTTACTGGGAAATTTATTACAAAAATTGGGCAAGTTTTAAAGACAGGTCTAGATAAATCCCTGATATCTCAGTCATGTTCACTTTAATATTTTTGAACACTTAAGCTTTTGAAATATACCATACTGTACTCAAGAAGTTAAGGAACACCCACTTTTTCATATCGCTACATTTACACTGTTGTCATGAAAAGATCAGGTGTTCCTTAACTTCATTTGAGTAGTATACTTTCCTATTCCTTCATACCATCACGATGGAGTAGACCAACTACTTGACATCCTCTTGTTTTTAAGTGGCACTTACACAATATTGTCAGTGAGTTATGCAGCTATTCAATATTACCGTTTACATGTACAATTGAAGGCCTAAAATAGAAGTGGACATCCTTCTCAACGTGGTGCGACATCATACTTTGTTTTATAGAAGCAGGTTTTGTTTGCTCAAGTTTAAATGCTGCACCACGCATCACCCACCTGATGAAACCAAACTGACTTTTGTTTTAGGCCTGGCTGTTCATAACACTGTTCGTTTTTATCAACATTTCTTTGAAGGGAAAAGGTATCCTCATAAGATAACCAGTGAATTAAGTCTTTCCTTAACTTACAAGTTGTAGATTTTAATTTATCTAAAAATGGTTTGTATAGTTTGTAAGATTTGGATTACATCACTGTGTCTTGTTATTGTTTGTTTGGCTGAAGAGAAGATGTAAACAAGCCACTGCCTGTACATATTTCCCAGTGTTGTCTTTAATATGGAATCTAATTCTAGAATGTTGATGCATTAATTTACTTCTCATGTTCAGTTACAACTTACTGTATTGTATAGTGTGCCCAGTATTGGATATTGACACAGATAATGTGTTATACAACGCTTTTGTTTCTTTTAGTGAGTTTTATTTCTACACACTGTCAGTGTTTGTGCACAATGCCTTGTGTGTTGGTTGTATTAATGTGTGTGCGTGTGCGCAAGTTTGTGTGTGTGAGACTGGCAAGTGTGTTACATTTGAGGCTCATGCTGAACTGTAGATTAGCAGCCTTGGCTTCGGTCACAGCGCCATCTATGCCAGACCTACTCCTGGCTGCTGATTGGCTGAGCAGTGTTCCTCTGACCATGCCTCCTCCTCCTCCTCCTCCCTTCCCTCCCTCCTACTTTCTATTTCACAGCTTCTTCTCTCCCAGGCTGGGTCTTTTCTAGAATAAACTTATACCAAATACACACTGTTTTGTGTTAATTTGAGCACAGCCATATACACTGACAGGTGTGATCACATCAACTGGCAGTGAAAACATACAGCCTGGAGCTGCCTAGTGAGATTATAGGTCATAAAAGACCCCAGCATATAGGATTGTTCCCAGTCGTGACTCCAGAGAATATTGGGAACCCAACGTCCAATCATTCATGTTTCTTCAGGTTTTATGACTGGGTGCATGTTTTTACAAACTTTTCATACAAATGCAGAGGGTTGGTTCAGGACTTTACACTTCAGTGAAGGTCACTCAGTAGCTTGTAAATTTAAGTCCCAAAAACCTTTTATTTCACTAACTGAAATGGATGACCTTGAGAGTGAATTTGACCTTCAATATTGGTTTAGGTGTTTTCAGTGGTCTACCAAGCAAATAAACCAATATGATGTCTTTAGATGGAATACAACAAAACAAAAAATTTGCTTGCGATAGTCATTGAAAGTAGCTCACAGTGGCCTAACAGATGTAAAATTACCATCACTTTTCATACATAGCATTAAAATGATATATGGATCCACTATATGTGCACAAGTTTCAAAACATATCTGCTCAATAGGTATTTTAATCAAAATGGTAATCATACTTTCAGCATCTCCTTCACTTTGACTTTGACCTTACACACAGGTCTGGTGTCAGGTCCCTGTAGGTTGCCATCTGGCACCAGGGTTGACATGTACCAAGGTGTACCGACATACAGTAAATGCTTCATTTCAACAAACATTTCATCAGGCAATGAGGATTACTTTAACCATTAAAAGGACAGGTTAAAGTGTGAAACCCTGTTCCTAGTATTGTATTAAAAGAAATGTTCACGATCGATATCCTTGATGTCCAAGAGCTACAGTTAGCACAAACATCTAAGGTATTGCAATATGCTGTGCAGAGATCTGTCCCTTGGGCATACCCCAAGCCTTTGATGGTGGGTGTCTAGGTTGTCAGTAGGATTCACCTCAATAGTATACAGCCTGGGACCTGCTCACTTCTGGTTGTACGCCTACATTAACCCGACATACCGTAGCATAACTACAATACAGTTAAAAGTGGTGTTAACACAACTTACGCCAAGTGCTACGTATGTTTCAACAACAAAGTGTTGCCTCTGTCAAATTCAAACAAAAATGATGAAATTACCTATTAATGTGATAGTAATTTAAGCGATCTGTAGATAGGAAAAGTGGTCAATTTTCTGAACCTGTGTCCAGTGTTGCATTCTCTTCCCACAGAGGTTACTCCTGTCATATTTTCCCACGTAACCTCTGTTCTAATACGGCCATATTTCACGGTGTGGCGTTCAAAACCGTGAGCGGGAAACCACAGCATTAGTAACCGGTCAGTGCATCCAACAAAGCGTTTTCTCGAAGAGATAAAGATACAGGTTTTCATGCACACAGCAGTCTGAGTAAATCCATAGAAATAGATGCCAGTGTTGCAAGCATTATACCAGTATTAATAAAGTACAATGACATGAGTAAATCCATTAGATGATTACAATGACATTTTTAGATGATTAAGTAAAAGGAATCAAAGACGCCATTTCTAGGTTCTGCAAAAACCAAGGCAACCAGTTTTCTTCATCTAAAATAATTTATTTGCATAGACATGAAATTTGCACCAGTTGAATGAACGATATAAGCAATGTTGACTTTCTATTAAGTTTGTGAAATACAACAAGCGGTTTTCTTATTTCATTTCTATGTATATATAAAACTTTGAAAAACAACCTGGCCCTGTTCACACTGCTGAACACAACATCATTGACAGGTATCAAAAAAGCAGATCTTTCCAAAACAATCCCTTTGAGAACTTGAGTGTTTTGTTCAGTGCCCATCAGTAAAGAATCAATTTGTTTGATTAAGTATATTTTACATGTCTACGACTTCGACCTGTAGTTTCTGAAACGGTCAAAAGCTAGACATGAGTATTAGTGCTGGGAATTGGTCAAAATCTCATAATTGATGATTGGTTCATTACAACCGATCAATCATTGAAAATAATTGGTTAGCGTCATTTATTACATTTTCCTGATTATTTTTGTTAATGGACAAACAAAATAAAGAAAAAACCCTGTAGTTCTTTGGTGTTTTTGCAAATTGCACAGAAGGCATTGGCAAATTTCACATCTTTAAAGGATGACTAGTAGGTTAGGAACACTAATTTCTTGGAGTCTTGAAGATAAATTCAACCATGACTTGGAACGAGCTTGTAGTGGTCATGAAATGTAACAGACAAAACCAACCTTGTGAAAAATATTGTTAATGCAAACAAGTGTTCCAGAATTGTTTGCGTTCGATTATGAGAAAACATGATCGATTGCTTGGTCGTTTAGTCACTGCCACCAATCTTCAATAATTTCAATTAATCGGACCACCACTAATGAGTATATGCATAAAACAGATGTCTCATTCCATGTCAGCCAGCCTGGTTATCAGTGCCTGCTTGTACACACCTAACCTTTTTGTCCATAGCATCCTTCAAACAGACAAGCTCTTAGTAAATACTGCATCAACTAGTCCCTATGACCATAATATCCTACAGATTTACAGCTACTAGTAAATACAATATCATACAAGTCCATATGTCCATGATATCCTACAAAAAGGACTATGTACTAGTAAGTACAATACCAGCTGGTCAATACATTCATACCATTCTTCAAATGGACCATTAACTAGTCAAATGCAACATCAACTAGTCCATAACACTCTACAAATGGGTCAAAAGCGAGTGAGCATCAACAGGCTATGAAGCAGCTACACTGTTAGGTCCTATGGTCTGCAGCAAAATAGTTTACAACTATTTTCTAAACATTACTGAAAAATAACTCCCCGACTTTACGCAAGGTGTGTATGTTTGTTGTATATGTTAGACTTGGCACTATTCAGTTATATGATTGTAGATTGTGAATGATAAAGTGTTGACCAGACAATCCACTGATTTTTATGACCACCATTCCATGTCATGATGGTACCTGAAACTTGTCACAAACCTGGTCACCTGATCCATGTAGTCGTCTCTAAACACCAGTATTGGATGTACAATATTGGTTGCAGGAACCCGTTCTAGCATTCCCATTGCGCAGCTTTAAGTAGTCTGATGAACGTAAGTATATAAACACGAGAGGAATATTAAAGTGTTGTAGTTTGAGCTCTATGCTTGACTTCTGTGTCCCTGATTAATATGGCTACAGTACTGGGTTGGCCTTGTCTCCCTCTTAAGTGAAATCATTACTATACCTACACTTTTAGTCACAAACAACACTGATGTATCATTATATCATTGAAATAAGCACCCTTACAGTTCCCCTTTAACATCCCGGGAATTAGATGTGTTGGATCGACCTGTCTATAACATCAGACTTCAAGCTGCATGTTGTTACTGTGAAGTAAACACTGACTACTGAACAAAACACCATAAACACCCTGATAATAGCAACCCTGTGAGATTCGTATAGATGGATAATGCAAACACATCACATTGACACAGTAACAGAATTGACTAAAACACACTTACATGAGAAAATATATGGAACCACTGAATAAGAATTCTACCATGACTTCAGTCAATACTGGATTGTGATTGGTTAACCAAAGTCATTCAGAGGTTATAATCACGTTATATACCTCTGATTTCCAACACAGTATGTATTTTCTTTAAATCTTAATAGCACGGTTATTGTAGAATGGAGATAAATGTACTGTGTTGGAAAATCAGAGGTATATAACGAAATTATAATAGCTCTAAATGTTCGGTTTAAAATCAAATTTAGAGCTATTACCTCTGATTTTCCAACACAGTATTGTTATCTCCTAATTTGTCACATACTGTCAGTCAGTGAAGGGAACAAGGGAGTGATGCCACAAGGCTGAAAGCGATAATGCAGCAGGGGAGGTAAGTAGGTCACTTTGGTAGTTACTTTCTGGAAAAGTACTGCAACATGTAGAAACTGTCAACCAAGTGATCATAACAAGAAATTTTGAGATTCATAAGCATAAGAGCGCAATAAGATAAAGTCAGTGAGCTGGGTGTAACACCATTTTGAACAGTATTCCAGAAATAGCATGTGTCAGCTAAGTGTGGAAGGAAAGCCTGAAATACCAATGAGAAACAAGTCTTACGGAGGCTCCCTGGAACTAATATTTACCCATTTCAGTTCTTAATATGACTTCGGAAAATGGAATCAGTGATAAGTGAACCTTTACGTGCTGTATGTATATAACAGAAGTGCAGATGGAGGGTGTGGCTATACATTGGACGACACTGGTACACAACCGTCACAGTGCAACAGACGGAACTACTGAACATGCAGAGGTAGCACTAGAGTGGATGATGATCCACACAGTCAACACAGATACACAGTATGGGCTGGGATGTACAGGGAGACTTCACATTGAGGACTGACCGGGGCAGATGGGTACGTGGGTCTCCATTCTATTTATTGCAGGAGTAAGCATGGAGTGTTGGAGATCTCTTTTGTCAAATAATGCAGTCAGTCAGGGTACTGCCATTTGCAAAACAAAAACTTCATCCATAAGGCTTGCAGCTGTTCAATACTACAGCCAATCTGGATACTAATAATAAAAACAAATGCCATTGAAGATTGCGAATGGTTGTTGCTGCTTCAACTATATTTCTGCCATTCTGGGATTTGCCATTGAGTATAGGGTATGGTTATCTAATGAAGTAAAAGTTTTTCAATCCTCCTTGGATGTGCTTTCAATAATAGTTAACATTGAGCATAGGGGTAAACAGAGTTATAAGTCAGCTAGTGAGACTCAAAAGGAGTGTTTACATTTTTGTTCATGAAAAAATTGTCATGGGTTAAAAATAAACATGGAGATTGTGGAACAAGGTGAAAAAAGAAGACCAAAAAATAGAATTATGCAATCACAACCTTTGGGATTTCTGATGACAATATGAATGTATGTGGTATGACTACTTATTCATTTCAGTTTTCTGTATCAGAGAACTTGGTGAACTCGAAACGTTTTGTTCTCGAATACTTTCTTGAAATATTTGGTATAATTTGGTTGATCATGTCGTATGTTTTCACAGAAGCGTGGGGTGTTGCTGTACTCCAGACCATCTTCCTTGTTTCCATTGTCTGGCACCTGAAAAAGTCATTAGCCACAGGTATGTCAGGTGAATGGGAGAAGATCAGTACCACAAAGATACATCCAAGAAAGCATACATCGCAAACGTTATTTCCAGGTGACACACTCACTTTGCAGTTGACCCCCTTTTATGTGAAAATTGTTCTAACAAATGAGAGTGGAGGGAAAGAATTTGATTTTCCTGATATTTATTTGGCACAGGAAGAAAAAGGAGCACATTTATTGGAAGCTGTTCTAGCAAGCTGTTCTGTTTCATGGTTTCACCAGTATTACAGGTTTTTAACACTTGAGTGAGTGAGTGAGTGGGTATCACATTTTTTACCCATGGATCAAGGACCAGTCAGATATTGAAAAAAACTTAAACATAATAATTTTCCCAGCAGCACATGTAATGCCATGGTTGACTTATCTATAACCCCAAATATTCACAAAAGAGCTGCCTCGCTTACTGACTGAGACTGACTGCCTTTTAGCAATATTCCAGCTAGGGACACAGAAATGGGCTTTGTGTACCCATGTGGGGATTCGAACCCGTGTCTTCGGGCGTTGACGAGTAACACTTTAACCACTAGGCTACAGTACTACTGTTGTGGGAGTGGTACAAGAAGAATCAACTATGCTCCAGAGAGCTCTGTGGATCCGGATTCAGGTGTTCTTCTCCACATACCTGTCCATTGTCAAAGTCTATGAGGTCGGGCACACGGCAGCCGGTGGAGGCCGCACGGCAAATGGAATCCTCAAGGATGATGTAGTTACTCTTGTGTTTCTTTAGGATAGCATGGACGTCTGCCGGTTCACGCTTGCCATATATCTGGTACAGCTGCAACAGACATCACCATCTCTAGTCTTATTCCAGTACAACATCTGCACACCCAACATGGTATGCCGTGCAACCAAACAATACAGCAAGACTAAGACTAGGCCAATATCTTAGTCTGTACATTTTACACCCTCTACCAATGGGGAAAAAAACATATTGAATAATAGCAACTGTTCTATTAAGGTCGCCAGAGGGATCAAGAATCTTTAATCCTATTAAACCTGACAATATTGCAACTGACTGTAGGTGTCATGAAGATGTTAGGGAATAGAGCGTGATTAGATTCTAATGGCATGTCAGGACAAGTACAGCCGTACTACATAGGTCGACAGGAAACAGAGTCAGCACCAAAGGATTCACGCAGGAATAATGTCATGGGTCAGATTTATAGTCTGTTTGTTGCCACCAAGTTTTCCTCTTTCTGCTTCACTTTGAAAGAAATCATAAACCTTCAAAATGAACTAGATCAGATGAGTAGCACATCTTGTCAGTCAACAATGACATATACTACGGAGCATGTGCTGTATATGTTTGTGCTGCTCATTCATTCATCTGCCAATCAGGAAAAAGTACGACATTAATAGTTATGGCCTAGTTCTTTCTCGGTTTATGAAAACAAAACCACAAAAACACAAACCTGGTCACCCAGTGAAATGCCTAATGTGCCTCAGAATAATGCAGTGATGTTTCCTGCAGGATGTGTACTGACCTCTTTGGTCTTTATCCTGAGTCCCTTGTGCTCGTAGTGAGGGTGGTTGGTGATGGGTCTCTCTGTACACAGCTTTACCCCAGCCAGGAGCTGCATGCTGCCGGTGAAGGAGGAGGTCGTGGGAACATCCTTGCTGGCAGACGAATTGTCAAAATGTCAGATAAGTTCACATATACTACTATGAAGTTGGTTGGTTGGTTGTTGTTTAATGCCGCAGTCAGCAATTCTCACCCTGATCTCCACGGTTACCAGGAAGTTAGAGAACACCTGATTTGTAACATTACTATAGTTCATCTGTCATGACATGTCAAAGAATACTTGAAGTTTTCATTAACTGTTATTCTGTTATGACCTATAGTTATCCTGTCATGACCTGTAGTTATCCTGTCATGACCTATAGTTATCCTCTCATGACCTATAGTTATCCTCTCATGACCTATAGTTATCCTCTCATGACCTGTAGTAATCCTGTATCATCAAAATCGTGTGTTCTTCACTTCTCTTGAGTATGGTATACATATTGGAGAGAGTAGGTAGCTGTTTTGAACATATTCCAGTTCTATCTCACATCGCCAACTCAAGGACATGTATCCCCAGTGTGATGCATGACAAGTACTGTGAGGTGCTACACTTACTTGATCCACTCCATCAGATCCACTGTATCTGGGTGACAAGTACTCTTAGGTGCTACACTGAGTTGATCCACTCCATCAGATCCACTGTGTCTGGGTGACAAGTACTGTGAGGTGCTACACTTACTTGATCCACTCCATCAGATCCACTGTGTCTGGGTGACAAGTACTGTGAGGTGCTACACTTACTTGATCCACTCCATCAGATCCACTGTGTCTGGGTGACAAGTACTGTGAGGTGCTACACTTACTTGATCCACTCCATCAGATCCACTGTGTCTGTGTCTGTGATCCACTCCATCAGATCCACTGTGTCTGGGTGACAAGTAGGTGCTACACACTTGATCCACTCCATCAGATCCACTGTGTCTGGGTGACAAGTACTGTGAGGTGCTACACTTACTTGATCCATCAGATCCACTGTGTCTGGGTGACAAGTACTGTGAGGTGCTACACTTGACTTGATCCACTCCATCAGATCCACTGTGTCTGGGTGACAAGTACTGTGAGGTGCTACACACTTGACTTGATCCACTCCATCAGATCCACTGTGTCTGGGTGACAAGTACTGTGAGGTGCTACACTTACTTGATCCACTCCATCAGATCCACTGTGTCTGGGTGACAAGTACTGTGAGGTGCTACACTTACTTGATCCACTCCATCAGATCCACTGTGTCTGGGTGACAAGTACTGTGAGGTGCTACACTTACTTGATCCACTCCATCAGATCCACTGTGTCTGGGTGACAAGTACTGTGAGGTGCTACACTTACTTGATCCACTCCATCAGATCCACTGTGTCTGGGGTGACAAGTACTGTGAGGTGCTACACTTACTTGATCCACTCCATCAGATCCACTGTGTCTGGGTGACAAGTACTGTGAGGTGCTACACTTACTTGATCCACTCCATCAGATCCACTGTGTCTGGGTGACAAGTACTGTGAGGTGCTACACTTACTTGATCCACTCCATCAGATCCACTGTGTCTGGGTCGTAGAATTCCCGCAGGTCATTAAGCTCAACTTTCACTGTTGGCCATTCCTGTAAAATAATGTTCAAGAAAAACTTACCAACCACAACGAATATCTCATTACCACTTTTAAGTGAATTAGCCCATGACATTGTTCAAGGAAGATCTGATATGATACACACAAGATAGGTAATTCAACCTACTGTTGTAATAACATTGCTAAAGGTCATGCTGTAAACCATAAAAACAATTAATGAGTTTCAGTAAGACTTTAACTGTTCAAAGTAAGTATATACAATTAAGTAAAACCGAAGCTCCCGTCATATGACAGGTATACCTACCCTGGCAAACAAGGCTGCCATGACGACGATGAGAGCTGAGTTTCTCAGCATCTGGACCTGCAACAAGGGACATAAGTTACCACAGATGTATATACACCACTCAATCTCACTCAACCTCTTCATCGTGACTTAGTATCACCTTCACGCTAAGTGAGCAAGTTTCAGTTTTATACCGCTTTTAGCAATATCAAGGCAGTGGACAACAGAAATAGGTTTCACACATTGTACCCATGTGGGTAATTGAACCCGGGTCTTCAGCATGATGAGCGAACACTTTAACCACTAGGCTACCCCACCACCTTTCTTCACGCTAAGGATAAACAATCAGTGTTGCAATAATTTGTTGTTTGCTTGTGTGTTGTTTATTACTACACTTAGAAATATTCCAGCTTTCTTAGAGCACTCATAACATCACTACGCCATTTCCTTGTTTCCACACGTTCTCACTTCAGAAAGAAAGACTTACGGAAAATTCCTTCAGGTTGAACTTCTGCATGATAGCCTTCCACATGTCCTTGTCCACAAAGGCCACGCTTCCCAGCACACACATGTACGGCGTCCACAGGTACTTCATCCTCAGTGTGGACATGGCCAGCAGACCAAACAACAACGTCTGGACTGAAGTAGAAACACTGGGGTCAATCTCTGGACTTTAAATGTAGGTTCTTCCAAAATATAGAAAACATGCGTGTTTTAAAGCTAAAGTTGACAGAAATGACACAATTTTCTTGATAATGGACCTGATATGATGATAAGAAAACAAATATGTCAAACTAGAGACTGGTCGGTCATAGCATATATTGCCTGTGTTCATACCTTGGTCCTGATGTTATGTCTCCATTGGGATTGACATACATGTCATTGTATTTCTGGAGATAATATACAGGTGACCTACTTGCTATATAGGCCACTTCTGGTCGTTTGCTGAGAAGGTGTGTGTGTGGTGTCTCTGTGACCATGACCTTGTCACCTGCAGACTGCTTCTTGCCATTTGTTGCTGGTTCGGCAGCCATCTTAACTTCAGATGATTTCCTGCATGGAAAGGTATATGTATGTGTCATGTCCTTTCAAATACACTTTCAGATTTGTCTCTGTCACACTGTGTGGGAAATATCGTCAAGCAGTGAGTGAGTGAATAGTGGTACAAGTTGTTTTGTGAGATGACACTGTCAGTAAATTGTGAGAAGAACAGTTGAGTGACTTTACGACTAACACAGGCACAGGCACAGCCACTCAGACACACACGCATGCATGCCTGTCACAAAGTAAGAGCAATACGATGTTAAACCCGTCTCACCTCAGACAATGACAGACATTACTGAGACTTGCACACCAATACAAACACCATTCATACACATACAACACCACCCTGGCCACTTAATCCTCATTCTAATCACATCTTCTCTGAGACTTTATCTGAGAATCAGTAACAGAAGACAGTTCAACAACATTAATGTAAGATCTATAACCTTGGACACAAAATCTAATCTCAACTCAATACAACATACATCTGTAAAATGACAGACACTGCTCGAGATTTGCACACCAATACCTACACCATTCATACAGTGGCCACTTAATTCTAATGACATCTTCTCTCAGATTTTGTCTGAAAACTGTTCAACAACATTAAGGCAACAAGTCTGCACCAGCAGTAGCCATAATGGAGAAGAGTGCCTACTGGCAGAGGCCATACATTGCTAACTTCAATTTTAAGAAAGGACCACCAACCTGAAGTTCTGAATGATAGCGATGAACAGTGCAATGAACATGGCAGCATGACACAGGACATATGGCGGGAACACGAGCCCAGACGTCAGGCGCTGATAAGTGTCTACTGTGAGGAAGTCGAACGCCCCGAGACACAGGTATAGTCGTGAGTCAAAGTCTCTGCAACAGAGGAGCAGTAGCTGTACAAGCATACATCACAGCAGCAGCATCACACATCTGAGACATCAACACCATCAATATGACAAACAAAGCTTCTCAGTACTGTGAACTGTCATTAACCCAAGGCCCTTTAATTTCATATCATTATTTTAAAAGTGTTCGGAGTTCTGGTGTCCATGAGGTTTGCACATATGGTTGTTGAATTGCCTGTAAATCTTTGACTTTAGGGTAATAATGAGGGCATCCTGACTTTATCATGTAATTTCGAACACTGAGAATAAAGTATGTATGTTAACCAAAATGGTCCAATCTTGCAGACAAGTTACAACACTGATCATTGACACTATTCCACTCTGGCCTTTCCTAGCACAAAAAAACCTAATAGCATTACCATGGTCGTAATTTACCATTCATCATCATCTGAACTGGACCTTATTGGAAGAAACTCAATATACATCTATTCAGCAATGGTCACAACTCTACATATGACATAATCACTTCTGTTAGTCTGCAAGGTTCATGGCCGGGAAGGCTAAAATCGCGACCCTTCTCGGTTCAATCAGCGTAGCCTTCGCGGTACTTGCAATGCACTGTTATGGCTGAATGAACACGGTGCTCCTCACTCGGAGGCTCTGACAAATTACAAAGAAAACAGGATTACCGCGGACGCTCTTTCATTTGGGCACACATACAAATATAAATACAGTTATTTACCCATTTTCATGTCTAACTGCAACTTAAATATACCATTATAGCAATGTTTTGAAAAGAAATTCTTATGAAAATGTATTCCAAGGTAGGTATAAGTATCAGACATGCTCAAAGGTACATCACCAAGATAATTATTTTGAAAATTAACTCTTGCAGTTCCAGAGCCAAATACGACTACTTTAGTCTTTTCGATATTTAATTTTAACTTCCACTTTACACAATATTAATACTATGCTGTAACTCATCCGGACTCAAATGAGACCATGTCATCAGCATGCATCATTACAAAAATCTTAACAAATCCAAATATATCATCAATTTCTACATCATCACAGGCATTAGTTGCTAGATATAATTCAACGCCATTAATAAACAGTGAAAAAAGGAGAGGTGATAAATTTTCTCACTGGCGTACGCCTTTAATACAGTCAAAATAGGTAGAGTCATTTTCACCTGTTGAAATGCTTGGTATTATCATACATATTATAAATAACCTTTTAAACTTACCCAGTAATTCCTTGTTTAACAATTTTTTGCCAAAGTCTCACACGCCAGACATTATCAAAGGCTTTTTGAAAGTCTATAAAAACACTATATAACTTTTTCTTCTTAGATTTAAGCTTAGTATATCAATTAATCCATTAAAAACAAAAATCTTATCCAAAGTAGAGTACCCCTTTCTGAAACCCGAACCGTAAACAAGCGAAGGTTATAACAATGACTTGAAAAGAAATCTATCTACTCATGGATTATGCCTAGTGACTATTATTCTAATGTTTTTATAATTATGTAATTTTTCAAGTAAAATTAATATTTTTATACTTATCCTGACTCATGATCTTTTGCTTATCTCCCTTTTCCTTGTGAATGGTAATGGAACACTTGAATCCCTTGAAGTTCCCGAAGCGGACATAAAAATACACTCACCCACGAGTTACCTCCCTTTTCCCACGTAAACAGTCATGTGACCAGCCTTACTTGTCACTCTCTCCCTTTTCGCGCAAGTGGATGGTTGGGCGAGCACTGGAGTCCCGTATACGGCATTATATCCTTTTTATACCCCCCCAAATCTACTCCCGACATGGATTATGCTTCCCGGCACCGTATCTTTAGCTTTGGCGGTACTCCCCTACTCCCTTGGAAATTAGCTCTCCTGGGAAATCCGAAATATACATTTTAGCCTTCCCAGGACATCTGAAAAATAAGTTTTAGCCTTCCCGGCACGACATCATCTGCAACATTCTGATCCTTAATACTGGCCAATGGCTGTTTCATATATTGGTATAACTATTGCATATTGTGAAAGTCATCAATTGTCACTGAAATACTAGACCAGCCCAACTCACCTCTGGTTCCCATAACCAAACTTTGAACTCAGGAATTTGAATATGTGGTCATCAGCGTCAACTTGCAGCAAGAGCTGAGGAGGAAAAACAAACAAACATATCAAAGGTAAACTACTCTAGTCTATGAGATGTCATTCTAGTTTTGAGTCCTCCATAATGCTACTAAATACATCTCATATGTATATCCCAACACAATCCTCCACTTGTAAATACTTTAGTTATGGCCCTACTTGGACTGTTTCACATTACCTAAGGCAATAACTTGGATATGATGACAGTTATCCCAGTAACATGTCCAGCCCTGTGATGATTAAACTCACATATAACTGTCCTAGCACTAACACTGCTGAGTGTATGGCGCCCACATCCATTCTGACTTTTTTTAATTTATTTTTTTATTTACCATCTTTATTTCCACAGTTTACATAGTACATGTAGAATACATTCACATGAGTATAATTAATACACTTTCACAATCCCCTCATACAATGAATAAACATCTTTAAATATGTTTTGCATACTTTATCTCTGTGTTTCAAATAATAATAACAGAAAACCTTGCAAAGACTGATAAAGTATTCAGCAAGGCATATAGACTCCTCTCAGTGCCATCTAAAGGTAAGGAAGTATCATAAGCAAATTGTGCAAGAACATATTCAATACTTCCTTTTTTTAATGCCTTTTATATTTTTATTATTTCTTATAAGTATAGCCAAAATTTCTGCACATAAGATAAAAATATATGGTGATACCGGATCTCCTTGACGACAACCTCTGGCTATAGGAACAAAAGGTGCTCGCAAATCCATTTACAAGTACACTTGATTTCATAAACTTAAAGAAAGTTCTAATCCACTTCTGAAAACTAGGTCCGAAATTAAAGAATCTTAACACATTTAGTATAAAATTTCTGTCAACTAAATTAAAAGCCTTTTAAAAATCAATTAGAACTAATAGTCCTGGTATTTGATAAGATTCTGTATACTCCATTAGATCGTATATCAGCCTTGTGACCTCACCAATATATCTTCCTGGTACAGAACCTCTTTGATCATCATTTATTATTAAAGGGAGTATCTTTTTCATTCTATTGGCTATAACAGCTGATGCAATTTTATATGATGTGTTAAGGAGAGAAATTGGCCGCCAAGTTTTAAAAAATAGTTTTGGTTTGTTTTCTTTTGGTAGGCATGTAATTAATCCTTGTTTCTGAGTAACTGATAGATTTTCGTTTCGATATGCATAATTTAAAGAATTTATCAAGAATTTATTTAAGTCTATCCAAAAGAATTTTAAAAATTCTGTTGTAAAACCGTCTGGTCCAGGTCTTTTTCTGTTTTTCATTTTGTTCAATGCTTCTAGAGTTTCCTCATATGTTAGTTCGCCCTCTAAAGTTGCGGCACTGTCTTCACCTAGTTTTTGTATATCATATTTATTTAACAAAGAATCAAGATTAACTTGTGTGCAGTTTTCATTTTTATAAAGTTTTTTTTATAAAAGGTTTGTGTTTCCTTTAGTATTTCTTCCTGATCTTTAATGGTTGATCTATCGTTTGTTTGAATTTCTGATATAGACTTGTTCAGGAAATTTCTAAATTCCAAATTTAAAAAGTATCTACTTGGTTTTTCTCCCTGTTCTGCCCATTTTGCTTTAGATCTAATAAAGGATCCCTTTGTTTTATTTGTTTCAAAATCATTAAGTTCAGTTTTTGTATCATTTATTCTTACTAAAATTTCTTTGTTCTGTAAACTACCTCTGTTATCCAGTTCTATCTCTAAATCATGTAATAATGTTTCCAGGTCTCTGATTCTACTCTTATCTTTTGTTTTCTTTGTTGATGTATAGTAAATTGTTAGGTCTCTAATTTCCATAAGAATCATTTCCCACAGAAGTTGATCATTAATTTGGTATTTTGAATTTTGGTCTTCTGTTTCGAAGTTATATTTGTTCAGAGTGTTTTTAATAGTTTCCTTGACTAATCGTACATATTTTGGATCTTGTAATAAAGAGTTATTGAATTTCCAAAAACCTTTTCCTCTTTGTGTTTCAGATAGAGATAATGTCATAGAAATAAGTGAATGGTCCGAATCTATACTTGGACATATGTCGCACTTGATAACATTTTGTAGTAAATTATGAGAGGTAAAAAAATAATCAAGTCGAGCTTGTTTGGTAAATCTTTTCTCGAAGGGGTTTGTTTCCCTCCATGGATCTTTTAAATCTAGTACATGTATCAAATCTGTAAAAAAGATTCTAGCTTTTGGATTGTTGATATTTTTATAATTGAAAGTGTCTTTCGTAGGGTCTTGTACTACATTCCAATCTCCGCATAAAATAATTTGTGCCCCTCCTAAGCGTTCCATGTGTTCTTTAATTGTATCGTAAAATTCTGGTGTGTCTTGGTTTGGGCCATATATGCTTGATATTGTGTAAACTTTTTCATATATTTTTATATTTAATATTATGTAATTTCCTGAATCATCATCGGCAACCACATCTTCAACTTTGAATTCAAAGCTATGATTAAATAGAACAGCTGTTCCTCTAGCATTACTTTTAAACAATGTCATACAGCATTGATTGTAGCCCCATTGCCCCTTAATGATCTGTTCTTGATCTTTAGTAAAATGAACATCTTGTAAACAGTAAGAAGCGGAACAACTTTTTCTTTTAAACACATTATTTAAACCCCTACAGTTTAGAGACATAATCTTAATGTTTTCCTTTTCAATCATTTTCGATGCTGCTGATTATATCTGAATTCATAAATGCTATGTAGTCATAAGAATAGTATACAATGGGATTTGTGAAAATGTATATGTCACTAACATATTTTGTGGATGTTTCCTTATACTGTATATGGAAACAAAAATTCAAACATTTCAACAATATAGATGTACAAAATACTTCCAGCATCGTAAAACCAAGATGAATTTATGTTTTTTTTATACACTCTCCTTTTTTAATAGGAAAATTGACATGTGGTACTTAATTATAGTGCAACTGCAATGGTATCTTCAGCATAGCTCTATTGTCTCAGATATTGTATTATCGATACTGTTATTCGACTAAAACAGTATGTTACCATCCAATGTAAAATCCAAAACACTATGCAACTAGAAGTAGAAGAATACGTTTACCATAGATATAATACAATAAATATTGTAGTGTCAGTATCGCTAAGAAATCAGAATTCTATAGGGATTTTAGCTGAAAGGGAGAGAAATAGTAATACATAGCGAATATAAATCAAATAGTTTTTGACCTTCATCCATATGTTCCCACGTTTCTATGAACATGAAAACATCCCATTAAAAATTCCTCACTGCGCAAAAATATACAAACTCCTTGCAGTGTCTAAAAGTATAAATGTGCACTTTGACTCTGCACTTACAAATTACGTTTTATAAATAAATGAAAATATCCACTACTACATAATATACTGTCAGCATATACTCAAACAGTTAATCTCTACAGAAAGGATAATGTTCCGTTCACGGTTGTAAACTCACAACCGCGTAAGCTACGGAAGTCTGAATAGTTGTAAATTACATCTATAAATAGAAAAGCATGTGGTGTTTGTAGTTTTCACAGCTATATCTCATTTTGTATACAGCATAGTTTCTCAATGATTTGTATCAGTCACAAACAAGTAATAGAGTTACATTCTGTAATGGATATAACCACCATTGCACAACATATAAGCATATACAGTGGAGAACGAAATGGCCCTGGTAATTAATCTCAACGAAAGGAATAACCGACATTCCGTTGTAGGCTTATTACCTTGCATTCTGACTTGATCTCTGATGGATAATGATACAGCCATGTTTTGTTTGTAAACACTGAAGGTAGTGCAGGCGTGCATATTCTTCCGTTAATGACTACAAGGGACCCATATTTTATCTGTATGGGTTTGTTGAAACGGAATTACCACTTGATGGGTGAAACATGCGCATCGCTGATTGCTATTTCCAGCTTAGTTTATGAGATGAATACACATGGAAATCTTAATCCCTGCATATCATATGAAGTCTAGCACACAAAGTGAATACAACTGAAGAGGTAAATCATCAATCAGATAATGACTAACATCCATGTGTTCAGGCCGAGGGAGAACTGTGCAAGACTACCCGCTGTATGTGGCCTACCTTGAGTAGCGTTGTGATGACTCCCGCCAACACCAGCACTAGCACACTGTAGACGACTGTCGTCACGATTCCCTTTATAACGCCGCCAGCTCTCTCCACATCCCCCTATAACAACACAACACAAAGTATACTTTTCATTAACAACACAACACAAAGTATACTTTTCATTAAGAACACAACACAAAGTATACTTTTCATTAACACAACACAAAGTATACTTTTCATTAACACAACACAAAGTATACTTTTCATGACACAACACAAAGTATACTTTTCATTAACACAACACAAAGTATACTTTTCATTAACACAACACAAAGTATACTTTTCACAAAGTATACTTTTCATTAACACAAAGTATACTTTTCAAACACACAAAGTATACTTTTTTCACAAAGTATACTTTTCACAACACAAAGTATACTTTTCATTAACACAACACAAAGTATACTTTTCATGACACAACACAAAGTATACTTTTCATTAACACAACACAAAGTATACTTTTCATTAACACAACACAAAGTATACTTTTCATGACACAACACAAAGTATACTTTTCATTAACAACACAACACACAGTATACTTTTCATTAACAAAACAACACAATGTATTCTTCTCCTAGCCAAGCTGACACTTCTGCCAGGCCTTGTTGAGACTACCCACCTTGATGTACATGACAGCGTAGGAAGCTAGGACTAGACTCATCCCGAGGGACACGAGGATCATTTTGTTGATGAACTGGAAGAGGCATACCAGCAGCATGGTCGCCAGCATCACATGCAGCATGTTGCGTACCTGTCAAACACGTACATAATTACTTCAACCATCCTCACAAATGCTTGGCCATATTCAAGGGTGCTCAACTTCAATAATACTTAGATATTTTGAATATCACGCAAACATTATTGACATGTTGATAAAAAAATAATAGTTGTTTTCACAGATTTGATCTTATGTGTATTTATTACATGACCCTCCCATTAATTCTATGACTTTAGTCTGGCCAGTAAAGCAACACTAGTTTCTTGAAAAAAAACCCCACAACTTCCTGGATGATCACAATCTGCATCAAAAGTGTTTTGTTTCACACTGCAGCAAATTGTATTCAAGATAATGGCCACCTGTAAATAACTGGTGTCAGAAACTGATCTTTCAATATTCTTCACAAGGTGGGGCGGTGGGGTAGCCTAATGGTTAAAGCGTTGGCTCGTCACGCCGAAGACCCCGGGTTCGAATCCCTACATGGGTACAATGTGTGAAGCCCATTTCTGGTGTCCCCCACCGTGATGTTGCTGGAATATTGCTAAAAGCGGCGTAAAACCAAACGCAGTCAGTCAGTCAGTCAGTCAGTCAGTCTTCTTCAAGGTGAACAAGTCACCAACCCTAGCCAACTGATCCATGTTATCACCTCTTACCACCGGATCAGTTGTGGAGACCTATTCTAACCAAGAATCTCTACGGAGTTTTGATATAATTGGTCAGGGCTACCTCCCACCAAGACACAGGGTGAGTGAGTGAACAGTGCCCAGACTCAGTTGTTACCTTGTATGCTGGGATGATTCCAAGGATCCAGACACCGAACAATGTGGACACTTGCAGCAGGAAGACAAACTGGTTGAACTGCCAGCACAGTGCGAAGAGGAATGTGGAAGTCAAGATGACAGACAGTAGCACTTTCTGTAATCACAAGAACAGATGGTAAAGCACAGTATAAATCTCATCTCAAATGATCATCGATGTTTTCTTTCTAGACAGGATATGTATTTGCTCACCAGATAAAGATCTACATGTATTTTTTCTCTCAAAGATGATAACACAAACATTTCAGGACATCCAGCATAAATAATGAACAAGTTAGGTCAGTTAGGTCACCAGACTTACTTCTTTGAGTTTTGAAATGGCTCCAGCCTGGAAGTAGATTGTAATGGCAGTCACCTGGACCCAGAGGAATGGTAGGGAGAAGCTCTCCCTCAGGGGAATGGTGTAACCCACACGAGTTGTGTCAATCCTGGAACATGCCACCATTACAAATCAGACTGACTTGGGTTGAACAGTAGTGTAGAACTTTCCATCACCCCTAGACTCTACACGCTTTCCTAACCTATAAATATTGGTAGGTGTTTACAGACTAAACATCACAAGCTGGGTAATCTAGGTCTCAAAACCACAACCAACGTATCCTGGCTGGGGAAAGAGAGGCAACTCTGCACATTTCTGTGGTTTAGATTGTAGTGAGTGAGTTTAGTTTTATACCGCTTTTAGCAATATTCCAGCAATATCATGGCAGGGGACACAAGAAATGGGCTTCACACATTGTACCCATGTGGAGAATTGAACCAGGTCTTCAGCGTGACGAGTGAACGCTTTAACTACTAGGCTACCCCACCGCCCCTGGTTTAGATTGTAACTGTAAACCATGACTTCTGTAACGCACCTGTTGGCAACATAGAACCCTGATGTGAGGACGCCAGCTAGCCAGGTCCCACTGACAACCCATGCAGATGTGAAGAGGGCTGCCACCAACAGGGCATGGAGTGCAAAGGTACAGATGATGTAGAAGAGAATCGGCAGCATCTGTAGACAGACAAATCATATTATAGAAACTTATCGCTCTGTGCGATAGTCACAGAAAAGTCAACTTTGGAGACAAACGTACTTCAATGCCACCTGTAGATTTACCATGAGAACAACTGTAGACAAAGCTTGTCATCACCTTGACCTCTTGTACTTTATATCAAATACCCAGTTCTTAGCGTATTACCCAGTGCTCACCTTAACCCACAATACTCTACACAATATACCCAAAACTCTAGTACAAGACACCCTCAGTACTCACCTTGACCCCCACTACTCTGTACATGACACCCAGTACTCACCTTGACCCATTCTACTCTGTACAAGACACCCAGTACTCACCTTGACCCATTCTACTCTGTACAAGACACCCAGTACTCACCTTGACCCACTACTCTGTACAAGACACCCAGTACTCACCTTGACCCATTCTACTCTGTACACAACACCCAGTACTCACCTTGACCCCGACTACTCTGTACAAGACACCCTGTACTCACCTTGACCCCGACTACTCTGTACAAGACACCCAGTACTCACCTTGACCCATTCTACTCTGTACACAACACCCAGTACTCACCTTGACCCCGACTACTCTGTACATGACACCCTGTACTCACCTTGACCCATTTTACTCTGTACACAACACCCAGTACTCACCTTGACCCCGACTACTCTGTACAAGACACCCAGTACTCACTTTGACCCCGACTACTCTGTACACGACACCCTGTACTCACCTTGACCCCGACTACTCTGTACACGACACCCAGTACTCACTTTGACCCCGACTACTCTGTACATGACACCCAGTACTCACTTTGACCCCGACTACTCTGTACATGACACCCTGTACTCACTTTGACCCCGACTACTCTGTACACGACACCCAGTACTCACCTTGACCCCGACTACTCTGTACACAACACCCAGTACTCACCTTGACCCCGACTACTCTGTACACAACACCCAGTACTCACTTTGACCCCGACAACTCTGTACATCTGTACATGGCATCCTGTACTCACTTTGACCCCGACTACTCTGTACAAGACACCCTGTACTCACTTTGACCCCAACTACTCTGTACATGACACCCTGTACTCACTTTGACCCCGACTACTCTGTACAAGACACCCAGTACTCACCTTGACCCCGACTACTCTGTACACGACACCCAGTACTCACCTTGACCCCGTCTACTCTGTACACGACACCCGGTACTCACTTTGACCCCGACTACTCTGTACATGACACCCAGTACTCACCATGACCCATTATACTCTGTACATGACATCCTGTACTCACTTTGACCCCGACTACTCTGTACACGACACCCAGTACTCACCATGACCCATTATACACTGTACATGACACCCTGTACTCACTTTGACCCCGACTACTCTGTACACGACACCCAGTACTCACCATGACCCATTATACTCTGTACATGACACCCTGTACTCACTTTGACCCCGACTACTCTGTACACAACACCCAGTACTCACCTTGACCCCGACTACTCTGTACACAACACCCAGTACTCACCTTGACCCCGACTACTCTGTACACGACACCCAGTACTCACCTTGACCCCTGAGTACACGACACCCGGTACTCACTTTGACCCCGACAACTCTGTACATCTGTACATGGCATCCTGTACTCACCTTGACCCCGCAACCCTGTACACGACACCCAGTACTCACCATGACCCATTATACTCTGTACAAGACACCCTGTACTCACCTTGACACCCAGTACTCTGTACATGATAGCCAGGACCACCTCCTGGTAGATGTTCATTCTTTCCAGGATGTTGATAACACTTGGGTGTTCCGTCACCTTGTCATTCATCAGGTCATAGATACCTTCACACAGAAGCAACCATGTACACACATTCCGACTTTAATCAAATTCTGTTGCATACCAAGCAAAGATAATTCATAGCCAACTGCAGGGACGTTGAAAATATTTCATGTTACTCTACTGGGTGATAAAGAAATATGATTTATTGTAATTGAGCAAAGTCAGTAAAACATAAAGTGATCCCTACACTGTATTGCTGTAAGGAGAGAGGGGAACAGATCAAGTCTGGCCAAAATAAACTTGCAATGTCAGTGAGTGTCACTCACTGTCTGGGCACCCACCTTGTGCTATAGATGGAGCCTTGACCATCTGTTTGTAGTAGGAGTAGTACAAGCCAGACTCTGTACGGAATGATATTTCTCTCTCCACCTCCTGCAATAACAAACCAATTGTGTAGATCGCTGCTCATCACTGGATTGTCTGGTCCAGATTCAATTATTTACAGACCACAGCCATATAGCTGAAACATTGTGGACTGCAGCGTTAAACACCAAACAAACAAAACAAAGCAACAACAAAACTACACATTAACATATCATAGCCATACTTGTGTTCTGTCATCCTTAGATGATAGCGTGTTAGATGATTATGTATGTTGTTGTTATGTTGGTATATTATAATTCATATATGCTACTCAAAAAGGTTAAGACAACTTAAGGGCTTGCCAATGCTTTCATATTAGTAACCTGTCATGGCATGGCATGATAGATGAACTATAGTAACCTGGCATGGCATGGCATGATAGATGAACTATAATAACCTGTCATGGCATGGCATGATAGATGAACTATGGTAACCTGTCATGGCATGGCATGATAGATGAACTATAGTAACCTGTATGGCATGAAAGATGAACTATGGCATGATAGATGAACTATAGTAACCTGGCATGGCATGGCATGATAGATGAACTATAGTAACCTGGCATGGCATGGCATGATAGATGAACTATAATAACCTGTCATGGCATGGCATGATAGATGAACTATAGTAACCTGGCATGGCATGGCATGATAGATGAACTATAATAACCTGTCATGGCATGGCATGATAGATGAACTATAGTAACCTGTCATGGCATGGCATGATAGATGAACTATAGTAACCTGGCATGGCATGGCATGATAGATGAACTATAGTAACCTGTCATGGCATGGCATGATAGATGAACTATAGTAACCTGTCATGGCATGGCATGATAGATGAACTATGGTAACCTGTCATGGCATGGCATGATAGAGATGAACTATAGTAACCTGGCATGGCATGGCATGATAGATGAACTATAGTAACCTGTCATGGCATGGCATGATAGATGAACTATGGTAACCTGTCATGGCATGGCATGATAGATGAACTATAGTAACCTGGCATGGCATGGCATGATAGATGAACTATAGTAACCTGGCATGGCATGGCATGATAGATGAACTATAGTAACCTGTCATGGCATGGCATGATAGATGAACTATGGTAACCTGTCATGGCATGGCATGATAGATGAACTATGGTAACCTGTCATGGCATGGCATGATAGATGAACTATGGTAACCTGTCATGGCATGGCATGATAGATGTAACCTGGCATGGCATGGCATGATAGATGAACTATGGTAACCTGGCATGGCATGGCATGATAGATGAACTATAGTAACCTGGCATGGCATGGCATGATAGATGAACTATGGTAACCTGTCATGGCATGGCATGATATGATGAACTATGATAGTAACCTGTCATGGCATGGCATGATAGATGAACTATAGTAACCTGGCATGGCATGGCATGATAGATGAACTATAGTAACCTGTCATGGCATGGCATGATAGATGAACTATAGTAACCTGTCATGGCATGGCATGATAGATGAACTATGGTAACCTGTCATGGCATGGCATGATAGATGAACTATAGTAACCTGGCATGGCATGGCATGATAGGATGAACTATAGTAATATGAAAGAATCCAAATTTTTGTATTGAGCAGTGTAGAATACCTTGATGTTTGTGAACCACAGTCTGTTTTCATGCAGTGTGTACATCAGCCATGCATGGGCGTAGCCGCACACACACATCGCGATCACCCCCAGCACCACATTCTTGAAGATGGTCGTAACCATGTCAGATGCTTCCTCATCACTTCCGTTCTGTGTCGGTGTCTTTGATCTTGACCTTGGGTCTGCATTACGACCTCCACCTTTACCCTTTCGTCTTCTTGTGTCAGACATGTTTAACTGCAAAACAGAAATGATCATCACAGTTCAAACAACAACACTGCAAAACTGTCAAAATTTCTGTTTCTGAAGGTTCCATATTCTTGTAGCAAACCATATTTTTCATTCCATGAAGCATTTGTCTTGTTCAAACATTACATACACATATAAGTTACTTGACTCAATATTTTAGTTTGTTGTCAACTAGTGTAAACTATGATGACTTTTAACGGACACTTTACTACTGAAGTTGTATCTGGATGTATTCACAGAGCTACAGATAACTTTTTGGGTCATTGAGTTATGTACTCTCTTGTGTTCATCTCAATTGGGTATCCTAATTTTCCTTTGAGTAACCAAACAAATTGTACTCACCTCACTCAAACTCAATTGGGTATTTTGCCATTTTCCATTAATTGTAAAAATATAATAAAGTTTAAATGTTAGTGTTTCTTATTTATATTTGATCTGTAATATGAGAAATGATCAGAAAGACTGCAAGTTGCCACGTTCATGTCCTGAAATAGAACCTCTCAATATACCTCAGTTATTTTATCTATACACATTTCCGAAGCTAAGATTTGACATTTTTTTGTGTACGCATGCAAGATCACATTTACTGGGTATTTACAAAAATTCAAGCGTACTTGTACGCAATAGACTTAATAGGAATTGAGTTTTCACATAAATATTTGCGTAATTTACGTAGATACGCAGCTTATCTGTACCTCTGTATTCAGGATCTTAATGATAGGAAAATATCCTGAACAAAAGAACATTTTTTTCAAGCAGTCACATCTGTTGATCCACATAGATGAAAGGCGTCAGTGTTTGATATTGACAGTTTAACTTGACTTGAGTGTATTGCCTTCAGAGCCTGGACAATTATAATGTGTTGACTGTTCCACCAATCAATCCACCTCCCTCTAGAATAGCAGCATTAGGAATGTCTCTAATGGACTGACAGCAGAGTGATTTTATATCAACTTATATAGACAAATAGGGCCAGTTAGACAATCAAACATTTAGCAGGACAACACAATTAAACAATTTCCATCAAATTGGAAAATCAGCGCTTGTCAAAACTGATAAAACATAAAAAGTTAAGGGCTGTTCTGTTGATAAAAAGAGCTGTCCTCTAATATAATAGCAGTGTTATATACCAGATGTTTAGTAAGTTTCCCTTATACAGTATATTCTTCAGGCACTGCATGAAAATCCTAGCACTACCAACAATGATGTGTATGCGATTGCTGGGGGTAAGATACCAGCTCACTCCACATATTTAGCACTCCAGGATCAAGTTTAAGAGATCACTTGATATGACATAGATAAAAGCTAGATTCAAATACTCATATATGATATATGACTTATATCCCAGTTCTTATATCATTGATATATGTCAATATATCATTGTATCATAACTGCTGAGTAATCGAGCTAATACTATGCACACAAACATGGCATGATCTGATTTACCTGTCTGGCTTCACACTTACTTAACATTGGATCAGCTCCCATCTAATGCAGTAATCTAGCCAGGTGGCCAACTAGTCTGCTGATAGTCACTGACAGAACCAGTTTAACAAGACAGAAACAGGTTCAAATGACATAACAGGGTTCTCACAGAATCAATGAACCCTGTGGTGGAGCTTCAGACTCACACATGGGTACAGTGTCATGCAAGGTCATATCTGCCCTCTGTAATCAGCAGTTGGTAACATGAGCGGCTTGTTGAAACCACACTATGTACTGAAGTCTTGTTACCTCCCACATTACTGGGTAGACAGTCTAGCCCAGTCTGTAGGATCTGTATTAGTTGGAATACATGATAGCAGAACATATTGGTGTCTGGACATTCGAAGTATTTCATGAACACATGATATATTTTATGTATTGACATAATCAGGAGCGTGATTTCAGATTGTGGTTTGTTGTTTAATGTCATATTCCAGTGGTTTGTAAATAATCAAGTCTGGACATGATAATCTGGTTCTTTTTCTCTGTCAGTCCAAATGTCCTGAAGAAGTTTTCTAAACTTGGTAATGATACTGAAGAACATCATGTCAAAAGTTGACAAACTCATGAAAATTACCAATAGCTGTTTGCCTCGACCTCCATCAAAATAAATGAGACTGACTGACTGAGTTTTGGTTTTATGCCGCTTTTAGCAATATTCCAGCAACATCATGGCGGGGGAAACCAGAAATGGGCTTCACACATTGTACCCATGTGGGGATTCGAACCCGGCCTTCGGCGTGACGAGCCAACGCTTTAACCATTAGGCTACCCCAACGCCCCAAAATAAGTGAGAAGTAGACACATATCACTATCACTATTGAAATTAAGGGGACTTGGGGTCTTCAAGACATGCTCCCTTAAGTATTGAAATTCAGGGACACCCTATATTTTCACCTTTTAACATTTGGGGTATGATGTGGAGTACATTATTTCCGCACTTAATTTCAAGCAGTGTACATCATGTATACATAATGGTGTCATTATTACCAAAATGCTTTCCGTTTTTTCTTGTTTACAGTGAGAAAACAAACATGTTCCAGCAGCTAAATCTGATCAAGTTTGTCATCAAACTTGTCTACTTGCCAACACTACATTCTGAAATGTGAATATTACACATTTGTATCCACCTAATCAGACTACTTCAAATTGAGATTATGTATTGAAGAAGCCAAATCTCATAACAGTTAAATTTAAAGGTAATTGTTAAATATAATTTATTTACTTACTTAAATATAAACAAGATAAGGTAATTTCTTGAAACATTATTATAAGGTATGTTTGGGTGTATTTATAAATAGTCTGTCAACAAGTGGATATACATACTAGTTACACATGAAACATCCTTGAAGATGTTACAGAGCTGATGTGATAAGCTCAGTCTAGATCCAAAACATGCACTACACCCGAGACACCATCATGACATGCCCTAGCACACCACTACCACCATCTATAGCCTATCTACAGCTATATCACTATCACCTACACCTTGATAACCACTGGCACCTGCAACCTACTCTACTGTCAGAACAGCATGTAAATACATCATTACTTTGTTGTGGAGGTGTTGCTTGTTATAACCACCCAGGAAGATGCTCCATGTGGCTGGACATCAACGTCACACAGGAAGGCGTCGCTAGGTCTTACTATTGAGGGGACTGACAGAAACATATTTCTCCATTTTATATATATTTTTCAAAAAGGCATAAATGAATTCTTTGTAAATGCTAAAACATTGTAAATAAAGTGAATTTCAAGTTTTAAAGTCAAGTATTAGATACAAATACCATGCTGTGGTAATGGTTTGGACAGTATATATTCAAGTCGGAAAACTGACATGAAGATGTTTGACAGGGTCCCCCTTGTAACTCCCTACAAGGATCAGCTTGTCATGTCTGACTGCACACTACCATACAGGTTTGCCAGCTTCAACAATTCTATTCATACGTGAATTGTGTCAATACAGCCTGGTCTCCCTGGTTCACCACTGTGGGCAAGTCCCACTGCTCTCCTACCTTGTGCTTAAACAAACCCTACAACCATTCACACACACAGACATACACTTCTGATGTGGACAGTCTCCAGGTTTACCTGTCGTAACATATATATTGCATCGTTCACTGCACTAGCTGAAGATTCCCTGTAACCATATTTGCTACTTGTCTTCTGAATCTACAGTATGAAACTACATAGTCTTTGCTTATTTAATTTACTTCATACCATAAAACAGACCATGTGTTGCCAATAAATATTGATGTTATGCCATTGATGTAGTATTTGATGCATTTTTAACAATGTCTCAACATCAAGGCTCTAGGGAATTTCTATTTGGTCAAGAATTGAACCTGTGTGTGTAGGCTTGGATGGCTGTACCTCCTGGGAACATCTATCTTATGGTTTATAGCTTCAAACAAGACTCTATTGAAAATAAAGACATAAAGTCGTGGTGTACTGGTCATAACAGGTCACAGAAGAAGGATTGTTGTGCTTGCTTTGTCAAACTATTGTGGCAAAAAACCTTGGGCATATCTGCCTGGTGCATAAGTTATGTCAATATAATAGAAACTGTCACCATATTTCAAAACTAAAAACTTAAAAATTACTAAACTCAATACTAAAACTGATCTACTCCTATATCTGATACACAGTATTAACTAATACACCACAAGCTGCAGGTTGATCTCCACATAACAGTCTTTGAGTGGCAGTTTTAGATGTTGGAGAGTCTGATAAAGACAAACTTTATGGATGAACAACATCTTTATTCAGGTGATGCGACGTTTCTTTACAGATTCTTGCATCGTTGTCAAGCAGGTATGAAGAATCTGAAACGTTGCATCACCTGTTTATGTTCATCCATAAAGTTTGTCCTTACCTCTACATAACAGCCTGTACAGTGTGTCCACCATTGTCAGGTGTTGCTCTGATAGCAGGCATCTGTTCAGATGAAATCAAAACATGGATTTTCATACAAAGCTGCCAGAATCTGATTAATTGCCATTCAAAATGGTCCCTGCATGAGGACAAACTCAATATTTACACCATTTAAGATTACCGGTATATGTTGCAGCTGTTGATCAGTGAAACTTTGTATTGTGTGTCTATATGATCAATAATCTCTGAGTGTGTCCATGTGCATGCTATATACCGGTATGCTATATTCTATTCTATCCATCTATTCATCCATCCACCCACCCATTCATTATCCATCCATCCATCCATCCATCTACCCACCCACCCATTATCCATCCATCTACCCACTCACCCACCCACCCATCTACCCACCCATCCATCCATCCATCACCCACCCATTATCCATCCATCCATCCATCTATATTAGATTGTATGAGTGGCATACCTGCATTTCATATAAAACAACAACACAAGCTGTGCCTGAGGAAAGGCAGGGAGGTCCTGAAATCTCCTGAGTGGGAGATAACAGACTGATTACGATACGATGCTTCACTTCAAATGTTTTCTGTGGGCACTGACTTTAAACCCAG